CCGCATTTTCTAAGTGTTCCACCCCCGCGGGCAATAGAGGTTCCTCGCAGGGTTCCACTTCATTACAATAAAGGAAGAGAGCTAAGGAGAGAGGGAGGGAGAGAGCGAGGGAGGGAGAAGGGAGGGAGGGAGGGAGGGAGGGAAGAGAGGAGGCCTCGGAGGAGGAGAGGAGGGAGGAGAGGAGAGAGGAGAGGAGGGAAAACGAGGGATGAGGAGAACATACTGTATTTACTCTTGCTAACTTATGTTACTCGTGTTTTATGGAAGGTCCAAGTGAATGAGAGAGGAAGATAGCTCCTACTGTATTGCTCTCCCTTTCCAGCATGGACTATCGCCTTGAGGTCGCCGACGAGACCAGCGAGCAACGGGCCCCCTCCTCTCTCCACTGCCTTCACGAAAATGGAGGAGCACGGAGGTACAACTTCTGTCAATATGCGCATGACAAGCCAGGGGGAAGCGAGCGATTTCGAGGCAAGGAAGCGAGAGGAAACAGGGACGACGAGTCACTCGGCGGCATGGCTGGGGAGAGGAGAGGAGAGGTCAACAGCACATGGGCGGGAGAGACAGAGGAGAGGGCGTCACTCGTCCTGCTTTGCATCGTCCTTTTCATCTCCGCCGTCTCTCGCTCTGTCATCCAGGCCAGGAGCAGGCGGGATGTGGGGGATCATGGTCAGTCCTTGCTCATCCTCGGTATGAGAAGTCTCGAGATACTGCTGCTCCCTGCTAGCCTTCGCTCCTGCAGCTCCTCGTTCAGGCAGTCTGAGCTCTCTACCTTCTCTGCGCGCGCAGGGAGGAGGCAGAGGGGCTCCTGGCCTGCACTCGTCGCTCTCCTCCTCCTCTTCTTCCGTCGGGTATCGCAGGCCATCGACGCCTGTTGCTTCCTCTGCTGCCTGGGATGGCTTGGGGTTGCCAACGCGTTCAGGACGATGAGGAAGGACGAGGAGCTGGTGAAGGAGATGCAGCGGGAGATGTGCGAAAATGGGAGCAACAGCTTCGCCTCTCTGCTGTTCCTGCTGGACTTCTACATCCTTCCCTCCCTCCTCCTCCTCTTCTTCTCTCTTCGCATCCTCCTGCTGCTCATGTACAAGCCCGACATTCTCCAGCCTCTTAGGAAGTCACTGCTACTGCCCCTCTTCCTCCTCTTCCTCCTCCTCATAGCGATAACGCTGCGGATCTCAGCTGGCTCCGCCATGTGCAAAACAGGAGCGGAGGGTGCATGGCGAGGCTTACTTATAGAAGCATGCAGCTACTGGTTCTTCTTCGTATCCTGTCTCCTCTTCTCTACGCTCTCTCCTCCTCCCCAGCACAGCTCCGCTCTCCTGCCTGCCCCCGTCGGCTCCTTCCAAGGCTACAGGGAAAGTGGAGCCTCTCAAGTCGAGGACGGAGAAGATGCGACGGGGAATTTGCAAGAGACTGCAATGGAGAAGGAGGAGGAGGAGGAGGAGGAGAAGGAGCAGGAGAAGGAGAAGGAGAAGGAGAAGGATCAAAGGGGAGTGGCAAGGAAAGATGATGACAAGAATGAAGACGAGGATACGAGATCTCAGGTTCCCTGCTGGAAGGGAAGTGAAGCTATGATGAAGGATGATGAGCCAAGGGACTGGGGTGAAGCAGAGGACAGCCGGAGAAAGGAATGCAGTCAAGGAGGAGGAGGAGGAGGAGGAGAGGAGCAGCAGCAGCTGGTGTCTCGGGTGAAGGAATCCTTCGATGATTTCACTGAGAGACGGTGTGGCGATGAAGATTCCATCACCGCACGGGATCCCCACAGACCCGCCATGCAGGAGCCTGAAGCCTCCTCCGTTTGCTTGTTCGTCTCTCATCCTCGTCCCTCCTCCTCCCCTCCTCTGCTCCCCCTCCCTCTCCTTCCCTCCCTCTTTCACTCTCTCCGTCTCTCTCCCTCTTTCTCTCTCTCCCTCTCCCTTTCTCTCTCCCTCTCTCCCTCTTTCTCTCCCTCCTTCTTTTTCCCCTCGTGACGAACTCACAGGTTCGGTATGACGAGTGAAGACACGGCAGACCTGGACTCCCTCACAGGTGACATCCCACTGCTCGGACTCTAAGTGTGCTTCTCCTCCTCCTCGTCCTCTTACCACCACCACCACCTCCTCCACCACCACCACTGCTGCCGCTCCTGCTGCTCGTTCTACTGCTGTGACTTCCTATCTTCCTGTCATTTCTGAACAGCCCTGCTCTCCCTTCCACGTCATCATGACCTTCACCTCCTCCTTCGCTTCGCTCCCTCACTCGGATGCCATTCAGACTCCCGGCACCTCAGCCTGCTTGCAGTCCTGGCAGAAGAGGAAGGAGATGGTGCTTGGGAGCTTGAAACTACAGCTGAGGAAAGAGGGGGAGCGGGAGCGGGAGCGGGAGCAGGAGCAGGAGCGGGAGCAGGAGCAGGAGCAGGAGCAGGAGCGGGAGCAGGAGCAGGAGCAGGAGCAGGAGCAGGAGCAGGAGCAGGAGCGGGAGCAGGAGCAGGAGCGGGAGCAGGAGCAGGAGCAGGAGCGGGAGCAGGAGCAGGAGCAGGAGACTCGGAGCGTGTGCCTCCCTCTCCACTCTTGAGATGTGAATTGCCTCGTCCCAAGCCATTGCCGGGAGGGAGAGAATGGGACGAAAAGAGGAGCACAATGCTCGAGAATGAGAGGGAGGAGAAGGCGGAGGGGGGGGAACAGGAGGAGGATGAGGAGGAGCAGCAGGAGCAGCAGGAGCAGCAGGAGGAGGAGCAGGATGAGGCGGAGGAAGCATGCAGAAGCAGAGGGGTGGAAGACTCGTCGTTTGTCAGCGTGTCGGAGGAAGGGAGTGAAACCAAGCAAGATCTCAGCGAGTCAAGTAGCATCGGAATTCCCAGCTTGCCCGCGACCCTTCAACCCTCTCCTGGCTCCCCTCCTCCCCCTCCTCCTCTCTCTCTTCCCTCTCATCGTCCCCTATCCCCTGCTTCTGACTCTCCACTCTCTCCTCCCCACCCTCCTCCGCTCTCTCCTCCTCGCCCTTCTTCCTCCCTCCCTTCAACCATTCTCGTCTCCTCCTCCAGACTGTCGTCGGTAGGTTCTCGAGAGAAGTTTCATCCTTGGAGCTGGAGGATCCGAGGGACCGAAAGAGAGCCAGGAAGAGAGAAGAAGATGAAAGAGGAGGAGACGAGGAAGGAGAAGATGATGATGAGGGAGGAGGAGTACTGGACGTGATAAATGTTACACAAGGCTGATGGAATCCTTGCTTCTCGTGATCCACATGGATCTGATCTGTTCGAGAGAGGAGAGATCAGGCTGGTGCGGGGAGGGTTGAAGGAGAGAGGAGGAAGACGGAGGAGGGGGAGGAGCGCGTACTTGTCTCTACTATCATCTCATCAGTTTCTCCTTCTCTTCCAGCTGCTGCTGTAAAATTCTCTCGCAAGCGTCCAAGGCTGATGATGCCGCCTGCTCCAGCAGCCCCAGCCCCTCCATGGCGTATGCCCCGCAGAAGAAGAACCCTTCCTTCCCCTGCGCTGACCTGACCTGCTCCATGAGCTGCCGCGACTGGAGCTGGTGGACGACGCGAGTGAAGTGAACTTGAGCGACAAGCTTCCCGTCCTCCGGTCGCGCGTGCGCGTTCCAAGTCTGGAAGACATCGCTCGGGAGCTTGCTGTCCCTGTAGTAGGCGTTCATCCATACCGACAGCATGCAGGACCCGTCCCCTCCGCTCTCCTTCACGTTGACGGTCCTCCAGTCCTCCCGACGCTCGGGCATGAGACGGCAGTCAGTGTGGATGACGCAGGAGCTCGGGTGGTAGACGAACTTGTCAAAGAACTCAGTCCACGGCTCCGGAAGGATCTTGTGAACCGCCGAGGCTTCCGTGGCAAGGAGCACGTAGTCGAACTTGCCCCCCCCGATGCTCACGGTCCCGTCCTCTCTCCGCAGTGGGGGGACGCTGAAGCTGGTAACTACGTCCTTGTCCTCCACGAGCGCCCGCTGCAGGACGTCATTGGTGGGATGGATGCGGAGGACTTTCTTGTTGAAGGCGAGCAGAGGGTTGATGGAGCTGAGAAAGGGGAGGATGAAGTCTGCTGGGTAGTCCTCGACCATCGCGAACGAGCATGAGAGCATCCAGCTGAGTTGTCTCTTGATGAAGACCTGGTACACCTCCGTCTCCCTCAGCCCATGTCTCCGCATGTATCCCCCGAACGTCTCCTGGCCCTGCGGTCGACACAAAAAGACGACCCATGTGAGCCTTGCCAAGGACGGGAGGAGGAAGAAGCGAGCGAGGACTGTCTTCAGCAGCGAGGTCTCCGTCGTCGCGTTCACTCCCTCCTCGTCATAGCAGCAGACGTCAAAGTTCACCGTCTCCGTCCGAACCCCAAGGGATCGCACCAGCTTCCACATCGTCTTGTAGTAGTGAGGGCCCACCATGCGCAGAGGAACGTCAACGACGTTCCCTCCCTCCAGCTCGATGCTGTTCCCCGCCAGGTTGACCTGCGGCTTCGACTCGAACATGCGCACGTCAAAGAAGCCGTCAAGCACATGAGCAGCGACACAACCGCTCATGCCGGAGCCGATGATAGCGACTCTCTTCCTCTGCTCCCGCTCGACAACGAGGAGCGAGTAGTCCAGGTGTCGCACGAGAGCGGGGGGGAACCATCTGGCGAGAACAAACGACTTCAAAGATTCCATCCTCTTCACTCCGAATCCCATCCTAAACAATCATCAGAACAGTCCTTTCCTACCCTCTCGGCCCACCACCTCTACCTTCTCCTCCTCCCACTTGCTTTTCTCCCCTTCTCCTTCCACCCTTCTCTCTCCATCTCTTCCTCCCTCCTCTCATCTCCCCTTCTCTCCCCTCCCCTCCCCTCCCACCTCTCCTCCCATTCTACTCTGCCCTCACCTCCTCAGGGTATCTCTGTACTCCGCCTCCGTCCATTGATTGTTCACCCGTATTCCCATCATCCTCAGCGCAACTTTGACCCAGAGAGGAGCGAGGGGAGATACGATGACATCCGTCTGAAGCCAGGTGAGAACCAGCTGGGGGTGGTAGCGGTCAAAGTCAACTCACCACTACCACAAGACCTCCATCAGGAAGGAGCCTGGAGCAGTCGGAGAAGAACTTGAACTTGTCAAAGTGGTAGACTGAGTCGACTGAGATGATCTTGTTGAACTCGTTGCGTTTGAATGTCTTGGCCCTATCAAGGAACTCACATTTCTCGCAATGGTGCAGTTGTTGTTGTTGTTGTTGTTGTTGTTGTTGTTGTTGTTGTTGTTGTTGTTGTTGTTGTTGTTGTTGTTGTTGTTGTTGTTGTTGTTGTTGTTGTTGTTGTTGTTGTTGTTGTTGTTGTTGTTGTTGTTGTTGTTGTTGTTGTTGTTGTTGTTGATGATGATGATGATGATGATGATGATGATGATGTGATGATGATGTGATGATGATGATGATGATGATGATGATGAGGAGGAGGAGGAGGAGGAGGAGGATGATGATGTGATGATGATGATGAGGAGGAGGAGGAGGAGGATAAGGATGATGATAAGGATGATGATGATGATGATGATGATCAAGTACAAGATGTGGTGAATCTGCTGTTGATGATTATAAAGATGTAGTAGATGCAAATCTGATGCTTACATGTCTTCTGCCGTACACTTCACGACATTCGCAGCCTTGTCGTTGGGCAAAGGGTTGCGATCAAATCCTGATCCTCATCTAAGACCAGGAGGACAACAAGCAGAGTCGTCACCTGCAATTTTTTGTACTCCGCACTGCCTCCTTATTTGCTGCAGCTCGATCCCGGAGCCGCAGCCAGCGCAAAGAAGTCTGTCTTCTCCGTTGAGATCTGCAGCTTGTGCGATGATGCTGGAGAGCTGGAGGGAAGTGAGAGGAGGTGAACTACAGAGCTGGGAACCCGCTGGCAAGCTTCCTCGTAGCCCAGCGCCTCCTTCCAGTAGCCGAGGTTTGACCACTGGCAGTGAAGCTTCCTGGAGGAGATGCGAGCACAGAGCATCTACAGAGGGTGAGGAGAGGTAGAGGAGGAAGAGAGCCGAGGACCTGGAGGGCCCGCACGAGGTCAGGATGGAAGTCCGAGAGGACGAGGGCGAGTGAAGCGACGGAGACGCAGGGGGAGACGTTGGCGAGCATGAGGGAGACGACTGCTAGTCAAACTCGTCAAGTGCGTCAGATCAGGTCAAGTGCTGCCACCTGCCAGAGGAGGATAAAGATTCTCCTTGACGCCTTTGGTCCTCCTTGCCATTGAGCGCATTGACGCCGTCAGATCTTCTTCAGCCGGTATGGTGCAGAAGGAAAGAAAGATGAGAAATACTCCGATCGAGAGATCAATCCTTGCGATGACGGAGAAAACTCCCATGTCGTCCTCTGTAGAACTTTCCGATCGTTCAGCACTGGAACAAGTTGACAGCATGTCTCGATCCCTTCCCTCCTCCCTCCCCTCCTTCCTCCAACATCGCTCCTTCCTCTCCTGCCTTTGCTCAAGAACACTCGCCCTCCCCGTTCCTTCTCACGGCTTTTGGCTCTCTTCCTTGCTACATCGGTATCGTCACTCACCTGGGCGAAGGAGGGAGGAGGAGGCAGGTCAGAAACACCAGCAGGAAGCAGTTCGACGTGCTGATCTCGCTCTCTACACGAACTTTCTGTAGCCCAAAACAAACGTGGATGGCCGATAGGTAAAGCCATCCCGATGTAATCGAAGATGTTGCAAACAGAAGGATCGCAGAGGACAAAAACAGGGAGGTTGAAACTAGAACATCATCATCATCCAAATTACGTGAGAGGGAGAGGGAGAGAGAGAGAGTGCAAGGTATTTCACCTGATTCAAACTTTCCTGTCTGGCTGAAGTTTGCCATGAAATTATCCATCATCAGAGTGCCAGGGAACTTCAGCACTGTCTTTCTCCTTCTCCTCTTCTCCCTTTCATCTCGCGGCATCGTCGATTCAAGGAAGAGACTTCGAACGGCGTAGAAAGCAAGAGTTTCCTAAAACACCTCCTCTTTCAATAGGTAAAACGACAGTCCCACCCCTCACCCGCATTGGAATGGAGCACATTAACGATGTGTATCCCCCCCAACCCTGACATCTCCAGAGTCATGAACAACCAGCAACCACAACCACAGACCAGCGTTGAGAGGATGAAAATCGCTCCGAGAGCTTCTGCAAGCATTGAACTAGACGTCTCTGCGATCAGCCTGACAGGCAAGGGATCAACACAAGACGAGCTCTTGTCCTACAGGGCTTCTTACAGCTGAAACGACTGCACCATCACAGATCCCGCCATCCATATCACAACATTGGCAAGGCTGTGACCCCACGGTGCCATGAACGCAAGCTCCATATGATATCTGTATCTTCAAAGGTCCATAACAGGACTCCTATGGCTCGCCGATCGGTCTGTAAGGAGGGTAAGAGATCGATCTAGATAGTTTGTATCCCTCAATGCTGAACCATCTCCCCCTCTTCCGTTTGCATTGGCCCCTCTTCCTCGTCCTTTCCTTGCCTATCAATCGATCATGCTATATTCTGCTGCTCTTATTCTTGCTCCTGGTAGTCCTTCACCACCCATCTCGTGTTTCTCGTAATACCTTCCACCACCCCTCCTGCTCCTGCTCCTGCTCCTGCTCCTGCTCCTGCTCCTGCTCCTGCTCCTGCTCCTGCTCCTGCTCCTGCTCCTGCTCCTGCTCCTGCTCCTGCTCCTGCTCCTGCTCCTGCTCCTGCTCCTGCTCTTCCTTTTCCTCTAGATCCTCCCGCTCCTCCTCATGCCATGGTTCCTATTTTCCATCTACGAAAAATCCGGTCATCTGACGTAATTTTCTGGTCGCGTGTGAAATTTTCAATTTCGCATTTTCTGTTCGTGCGCGCGAAGAGATGGTTGACCTCAACATTTCAAGTTTTTTTTTTTTTTTTTCGAGTAGTCGCAGCAGCGGGATGGCAAGGTCAATGCCGAATTCATCGCTCGATGGGCTTCTGAGGTGCTCAAACGCTGTCGTCAGGCCTTCTTGCCTCTCCTCTCCTCCCCCTCCTCTCTCCTCCTCTCTTCTCTTCTCCTCTCCTCTCTTCTCCTCTCCTCTCCTCTCCTCTCAGTCGTCCCTCTCCTCTCCTCTGCTCTCCTCCTCTCCTCTGAGTCGTCCCTCTCCTCTTCTCTTCTCTCAGTCGTCCCTCTCCTCTTCTCTCCTGTCAGTCATCTCTCTCCTCCCTCCTCCCGTCTCGCCTGCTTTCATCCACACTCTCCTCATCGTCCCTCCCAGCCTGCTGGACAGTCCTGCGATTTCCTGCCTATAATGAATACCTTTCGTTTCCATCCAGTCCTCCTCCTATCAATTTGTCTGCGGTGTCCGTGCTCTTTGTTCCCCTCTCTTCATCTTCCATTCTCCTCTCACATACTGACGTTTCATGCTCATCATCTTCTGAGGCTATACCTGTGATCATCGTCTGATCTTGTCTCTCTTCTGCCTTCCACTTCCTTCCTCACTTTGGCGATGGCTCGAAACTCGATCATTCTTGACCCTCTTGAGTCCACCATCTCTGACTGACTGAATTCCTTTGTTTTCTCTCAGCACAACGTGCACCTCTGCATGCTATCGTTTTCCAATGTCTCACGCTCCTATCCTCGAGTTCGCTTCTACTCTTGTTGTCTCCCCCTTCCTCTCTCCTTCGAGCCTGACCTGGCCTTGCCTGTGCCTTTAGACGACTGTAACTTTAGCTGACAGCCCAAGAGTCATCGGCCAGGTCAGCATGTATGCTTCGCAACCTCCCAATGGACCTCAGCTCTCTGCGACGTTTTCCAAGGAAGAAAAGTACTTCTCTCTTGCCACCAAGAGTCGGGCCGACCTGGAAATGGAAATTCAAAGGCTCCGTGCAGAGAAAGATGAGCTGAGCAAGAGATTCCTGCAAGAGCTCAGCATTAAGGTCAATGAGATAAGACAGTGGCGGAAAAGAGCGTTGCAGACTCAAGAGCTCTTGATGATTGAGAAGCGAGAGAAAATCATTGTTCACCAGCAGCTGTCTGCTATGCAGACCTTGGTCCGAGTTGATCCAGACAGAAGGCGAGTGAATGATGTTTCTGTCGATTTTGGCATCCTGCAGGAGGACAAGAGATTCGTACCGGCAAGCAAGTTCAGCTTGCAAGAGGAGCAGGAAGAAAAGGAGCTGAAGCTGAAGAGGGGGGGGAACGGGGGGCTTGGAATTCGTTTTGCAGTAAGCGAGTCTGGCAGAGTGATTGTCATGGAAGTCATGATGGAAGGAAGCGCCTTCTGTCAGGGTGGTATCAAGGTAGGAGATGAGATAGTTTCAGTCGATTCGCACACGTTTGAGGAGGGTCTGCAAAACAGGACGGCAATGGAGAAAGAACAAACTGTGGAGGCGGTGAGAAGTCGGAGTTTGATCCCTTGTTCAAACTGACAGCCTTGTCAGATCTCGAACCTGATCAAAGGGTCACCAGGGACTGAAGTCAACCTTCGGATCAGGACCTCCCGGCCGCATCCGGCAAACATTTTCGAATGGGATATGTCAGACTACTCAACAACGCCGACCAAACATTCTAAGAAACAAGCACGCAATGTCGGGCAGGTACCATACCACAGATCAGATCTTGTGCTATGAATGACCTATGTCAGCAGAACACAAGGAGGAGTTTGTCTCCTTTGCTCTCAAATCACCCTAATATCTCGCCCCTTAACGTCGTCACTCCCCGATCCTCCATCCAAGAAGCTCACCACCCTCATGACTCCGCCCTCAAGTTTTGGGATTTTGCTGCTTCCACAGAGAAATTCACCCACCCTCTACCTACAAGGCGAGAGAGTATGGAACATGAATGCGCAGCACGATTTTTGTTTTAATAATCAGATTACAAGATAACTACATTGATTGCTTCATTCGTATGAAAGATGGTGTAGCTTTGTGAAGAGGCTCATGCCGTCTCGTGCTGTGACTCGCATGTCCCTCAGGCTGCAATTTTCCTCCTCGTCCACTTCATGCCTGCCAACGTTTGCCTCTCTACTCAAATGGTCATCCTGAAGGACGTCGAGAAGCAGCTGATCAAGCTGTCAGCCATTGCCTCGTGAGCGTCAGACGTACCTGAAACGTTTCGGCGTTATAGTTTTCTGCAGCATACTTGAGGCTGCTCTTTCCTTCTCTTGACAGCAGCAAGGGATCTGCGTTGCTTCGCAGCAGCGCCTTGCAACAGTGAGCATGTCCTCTTTCCACCGCATAGTGCAGCGGTGCCTTCCCGTTGGCGTCAAGATAGTCAACTTCGAAGAGCGAGCTAGCAAGCAGCGTTCCAAGTTCGAAGATATTGCCCTGCTCAGCATACTGATGCAAGCTGTTTGGTCTCGTGCTCCTCCCGCCTAGTTCACAACTATCGACATCGCTGTGATCCTGTTAACAGTGATCGTCACTCTCTACCTAGGTTGCTAAAACAACCAACCTGTGTTGCCCGATCAGCCGCTTTCATTTGAGCTTTCCCTGGTCTTTTCAAATCCTCATTTCCCGACTTCCTGCCATTATTGCGGAGGCTCTCCTGCTCCTGCTCCTGCTCCTGCTCCTGCTCCTGCTCCTGCTCCTGCTCCTGCTCCTGCTCCTGCTCCTGCTCCTGCTCCTGCTCCTGCTCCTGCTCCTGCTCCTGCTCCTCAAAGTTTGTCTCAGGCGAACCATTATGAAACCTGTTCAGTATGTCATGGCGTCCTCGCCATAAGGAATGGTCGAGCGCATATGGCGGGATTACGAACTCTCCATACATGCGATCACTGTCTACACCATCGCCTCCTTCAAAGGAGCTGCAGTCCCCAGAAGTCCCCCTACTCATTCTCAGCATTGCGGTCTTCTTGCCATGTCTTGCCTTGCCTTGCCTTCATTTCGTTCTCCCACCCTTCACCCGTCGGTCATCTTTCCGATTTTTGACCGTCTCGACATGTCGTTCCAAGCAGCATGTGTAACCGTCCGGCGCCGGGCCCTGAGCGCCGGGCCTGGACTCCGGCTCGGAGCCGCGCGCACCGCCGCCCGCCAGAGTCCCGGTACCGTACTACAGCCACCATCAAGTCTTGAAGTAAGTCAAGGTCAAAAATGAGACAACTGGTAGAGATCTAACGGAGTGTTTATCAGAGTTGAACTATGGTACTATCGTGATTGCTACTTCCTTGTCCCGGTCCTGTTCCAACAGACTAAGCAGTCATCTCAACATAAGGCTGGTCCTGTACTCATCTTTCTCAGCTCCTCCGATCCTCTTGACTTCACTCGCCGACCCTTCAACTTGTTCCGAAGTTCTTCTTGCAGCGTCAGTGCCTCTGATCGCTCTGTCTGCGCTTCTCTCCTCTCCTCTCCTGCCCGACGCCGGTGAGCTGCGAGTTGGTTGAGAAGATGGAGATCGTTCACTCACCTAGCCCCGCCTCTTTGAACTTGTGTTGGCCGCTCTTGCTCTTTGTTGGTGGAGGTCGGAGCTTGGAGGGGGGCGGGGCTACTTTCTTCCTTTCTTTCCCTGCTCCTGCGATCACACACATCAAAGAACGATCATTTGATGCATGGTGCAGTGACCAGGAGGGAGTGGAGGAGGAGGAAAGGGAGGAGGCGGAGAAGGAGCGGCACAGGTGTTGTCGGGTTGAATCTGCGAAGTGACTTCAGTGGTTGCTCGCAATCGTCAACACCGCAAGCTCTCACCTTCAAGTCTGGACGACCATGCGCTAAATGCTCTGACTTCTCTCTTGATGCCGATGGCGAATGTCGAGGAGGAGGAGGAGGAGGAGGAGGAGGCGACGGCAAAAGTGATGAAGCACCACTTGAATTTCGCTTCACAGAGTCGATTATTGGAGACGCAAGCGGATGACAAGAAGGCAGCGGCGGCGGCGGCGGGGGAGGAGGAGGAGGAGGAGGAGGAGGAGATGCTTGCTTGTTTCCTGACGACGATGCAGTACATCTATTCTCCTTGGGTGTTGAGAATCGAGCAGACGCATCCTTCGAGGAGAGCTTGCTTGTAGCGTCGCTCTTCTTTGAAGTGTCACTGGCCCTTTGCTGTTCGCGGTGAATCGGAGGAGGACAGGACGGCGGCGGCGGTGGGGGAGGAGGAGGAGGCAGTTGACAGGAAGGCGGCAGAGAAGATACTTGCTTGTTTCCTGATGACGATGCCGCGCCTTGGCTTGACGTTGAGGATGGAGCAGACGCAGCCTTCGAGGAGAGCTTGCTTGTAGCGTCGCTCTTCTTTGAAGTGTCACTGGCCCTGTGCTGTTCGCGGTGAATCGGAGGAGGACAGGACGGCGGCGGCGGCGGTGGGGGAGGAGGAGGAGGAGAAACTGAACTCTGAGAAGTGTTGGGATCGTAATCTGGAGTCCACTGAATTTCACATGACTTCACGACACCTGTTGCCTCTACTGCACTTTCTTTGTGAAGTTCGCGTAGCTCATTCTTTGTTGAAGAGCTTGGTCTTGTTGAGCGTGACTTGTCTGCTGAGTTACGAGCCTTGTCCTTGATTTTGCTCTTCTTAAGACCCGCAGAAAGCCCTTCGGGGGTGGATGGAGCAGCATTCAGAGGGTGCACATGGATCGTTCCTTCACCGTCGGCTGTTGCTCTATCTCGTGATGATATCAGACTCTGCGGGGTCGAATCAAGTCGAACTTCTGTCTCGTTGGCCAGATAGAGACTGCAGGAAATGACATCATCTGATCGGTTGAATTCATGGCTGGAAGACGAAGAGGAGTTCTCACGCTCGTGTATCTGCAGTTGTACATGTGGGGACAAGTCTTGGTGAGATCTGTCATTGGACTGGCTGTGATCTGAGTTGGACAGCATCTCGTTAGTCCATGTGACGTTGTCCTCGTCAGACAGATCCTTCCGAGCCTCTTCTTTCAAACGTTTTTCCTCCTTGGCGCACTTGACGAGCCCGATAGAATCGAATGCTTTCATCCAATTTTCAAATATCCGCTCTTGATCCGTACGAAGTGTGAAATCTCGCCAGGGGGTCCTAATGCTGATGACCTTCTTCTTGCTCGGGCTATTCGACTCCTGCTCGATCAACCAGGCTCTCTCCAACGAGATCTCTCCGAGAGGCTCTTCACCATTGGAGTAATTCTCATAGCGCTTGAAGTATTTCAGCTGTTTGTCAACCAGAACAAAAAATCTAGTTTGCCAGAGATCGAAAAATTTGCTCAGATCTTTTCGTGGACGAAGCTTTTCCAGGCAGGACATCATGAGGGGAGCCTGCTCAGAGTCATTGAAGAAGCTCAGCATGGCAAGAGATTGTCGATGATCAGTGGGATTTCGTAGAAGCGAGAAAGCTCCGTGAACAAGTGATGCTGAGATTTGCTGAACAATGTGGTCAGCCAGCAGGCAACCTTCCTAAAGGGGAGGAAGAGGAGGAAGAGGAGGAAGAGATGGAAGAGGAGGAAGAGATGGCGGTGGTGGTGGATGCTTACTACGGGATGGGACCCTCCGACTTTGAAGAGCTTTTGGGGGGGATAAGCCCATTCATGGGGCTAAAAGTACCCACCGACTACCTGGGTACTTAAGATTGAGTCAGGGTAGGGGTGTCTACCCTACAGTATACTTGTGAGGAAGACAGCTCTGAAATGGACCGGTCACACAAGAAGATGCAACATGAAAGAGGGGGTGGTAAAGGTTTGGAAGGGTGGGGGTGCAGGCGGGTGGTCAGACTGAGACAGCTAGAGCAGTCACATGCTAGTACCGGTTGTTACAGATATCAGAATCACCCGTGGTGCTGACTTGTAGAAGCTCCTGTGAAATCGTAGGGGTACTTTCGTGAGGCAGGACCGGGTCATGCCATCGTGACCACCGGTGGCGTTTAATAGCAGCTGTAGTAACAAGTTAGGCCGGGGTAGGGAGGGGCGTAGCATGGCGGCGAGAGCCTGTCTGAGGCTGGCTCTTTTGAACGAGGATGAGGGCGAGGGTGAGCATGGAGAGAGTACCCCTGGAGAGTACCTGACAGAAAGCACTAGATCACAGCCGTGACTCATGAGATCGTCATGCAGAAACATACAGGAAATGATGGTAGGAGCAAAAGAGAACGCGTTGTTTGTGTACATGTCCTTTCTCACAACGTTGTCAAAAGTTGAATTGTAAACCTCACAAGGATCACAAGCTGAGAATCTTTGACCGCAAGATTCTCACACTGCACCGTCCACAACTTTTGTGACGGCATTGATATATGTCAGATCCTTGATCGGATGATCAGAGAAGTTTAGATCGCGTGTGGAAGCCAAACAGTGGAGCTATTGCAACAAGAAGCAGACATGACCAAGGCGATGGAGAATTCACATTGCTTCTGCGTAGATCATGTCTTTTACTTTTCAGCGGTACAAAATAGTTGCTCGAGAAAAAAGTAAAAGTATACACGAAATGTATGAGCAAGCGAAAAAATTTAGGTAAGATTGTTTGAAACGTTATCCACAAACAGGGTATTGCCCCATGTGTTAATCCATTTCATGACATCATTCATGAATCTGATTGTTTCGTATGAGTCTGGCCAAATGTGTAAATCCAAATCTGCTCGATGTCCAACCATCTTCTCTACCAAATTTAGCAATGCAATGTACCGGAATGTTCTCATAATCGATTGCAACAGCAGATCGAAGAGTGCCAGATGCCTTCCCTATCTGTTCCACCATTCTAGCAATTTGTGACATACATATGCCCACAAAATGATTAGATTTCATCATCAAGGACATTTCAACAATCAACTCCTCAGAGAGTTCATAAGCATCATTGGATTTGTCCACGTACTCCATCACTTGTACATTAGGACCTGATATGTTCTGAGTTTTTGTAGAGATATGAAACACTCGAATCATCGCGTGATCTGCTGCTTCAGCAAGAAACAAGTTCAAAGCCATGAGGGTGTCGGATGCAAGATACACCGAAATAGGCCGAGACCGCACCTTTTTGATCGGTTCAGCGATCATCAGAACCTGTTTCCAAAACAGTTGAACGATTTGTCGAGTCGGCATGCGCGACAATCTGCTCTGCCTGGAATCTGCATCAGTAAGTTTGTCTCCGAGTCTCAAATGGACTGCAATGTCAAATGGTTGACCTCCCAACTTCTGGTGAAAGAATTGCACGCGTTCAGTCATCCTTGAATTCAGCCTGACCATGTACCCTTGCACAACTCCGTACCAGAAACTCCGCCCGTATTGGCTGAAATTGATTGGGATCATACAGCCAGCAATGTCTGTTCTTGCCATCCAGGTTGCGTTCAGGTCACTCCCTGAGAGACTGATGGTATCAACTAGCTTGTTGTCACATACGGCCAGAGGTTCGAAGAAACACTGAGATCCACAAATTCTCTCGCCACGTAGATAAGTCGAACAAATCGCATTTCGTGTATATGATTTGTAATGCCCAGAGAAAACTGGTATCCGACCTTCGCCAATCACTTGAACAACCTTTTTAGCAGCCATTTGGATCATACTGCCAAGTCCACCGCCTTCCCCAAGTTCGACCACGCTAATCAAGTCTGGTCTTACACAGCTCAGATGCATGTATCCATGTAACCAGATGATACCATGCTGGTATACGTCTGCGAGTTTAGATCTGGCCTCCTTCGTATCAGTGTAATCTTGCAAAATCACAATGCCGTCCTCCAAATCATGAAACAACGGCAATATAACAATTGACAATGATCCTAGTAAGATGAATGTTATGAACTTCTTTGGAGTGATTCTCCGTGCTTTCTTGCAACTGTTTCGAATCATCATCCAGATTTCTAGCGTTTGGGGGAGGTTACAAGCGATACATAATTTGGCAAATTCCATATGCTAAGAAAACGGGCAAATCTTCTTCTGAGGCATCCATGTATTTTTGTAAGATGCAGATGAAGCAACAATCGCTAACCACTCATTTGTCTTGAGGTTTCTAGAAACCGTTCGCTGTGATCGCATCTCACCATGATAGTCGCCTCTCTTCGATGCATCATGAAAAGATTTTTAACTTCTTCTTTTATTGACTCAAAAAGAAGGGCAAACTTCAGTCACTTTGAGTGAGGAAAAAAAGTAGGCAATCGATATTATTAGAGTCACGGCCCGGTCATGGAGGCCCGGGAGGTCCCGGGCCGGGACGGCGGGCCGCTACGGCAGCAGTCCGGTCCAGCCTAGTGGGGACTGAAGACTGAAGTTTGCACACACAAAAAGAGTGGAAGACCGTGGTGAGGTCGCAAGGTGAGACGCATCTCTACCTTATAACTCCCAGGAGCTTCTGGAGTGGGACAAGGTAAGCTGATGCCGTTTCGATCATAGGAGTTCACTAGAGACTTTTGATACCTTTATAGAGCACCTGTAAATCCTCCCTCGTAAATACTCGTACAGCACAGATGCTACCAAACGGTGGACGGGGGTGGGGTCAAGCGATCAAGTGAGTCACAAAGTAACCAAGTTTTCAAATACTGATCCAAGGCTGAAATCATGATATAATTTTTCAAATCAATTTGTAATATTTGGTATTATTTCACACTCATCGCTTTTGAGTATTGGCCGTGAAGTTTGTAGGGGTAGGGGTGAAGCTATCCGTAATCTCCAAGATTCAATGCAGATAGCATGGGGGTACAGACTTAGTGATTCACTTAGAGATTTTAGGGACTTAGATATCATCCTTTGACCCGGTCTTTTGTGCACATATGGTGATCAAAGGGGTAGGGTGAGTTTAGGAGACGGGTCGCTAGGTCCTCCCTTAAATGTCCTCGATTGAGATACCTGTAATAAGACCCACCAGTAAAAACTATGAAATCAAATAGTAAAGTACCCGTAGTATTCTCGAATCATAACAGACCTACCCCTCCTTGGGGGTACCCCACCCAGTTTAAAGCCGCCAGTCGCCCTCCAGGGATGCAATACAAAAATAAAAACTGATTGAAGACATTTTCGAAAATACACTATTTGGATGATTATAAAAATGTAATTAAATCTGAGCTCGTCCGACCTTCCCCAAAGTCCCTGGTCCCTCGTTGTGAGAAATATACATAAATATGAAAATCAAGTACATAATTTGATATAAATATTACAAAGACAGATATAATTATCGGTGTTTCTGCACGCATTATATAAAAAACTGTCCCATATATACAAGGCCCTCCAAAACAAGTTTTAGACGGCAGGGGTCGCATATGTACATACTTTTTACTTTTTTAAAAACGAGATTATTGTTGAGATCACACCTTCTCAATCTGTAGTAAACCCGAGCTTGGCGGCCCATGCGTGTGGAGAGATTGGTAACAGGAGGGATGTGGAGGCAGCAAAGAGAACCAGAATAAACAGAATCGTGCAGCTCGTGTCTCCTGCAGGATAGAGCTTTGTTTTATTGAGAAATCACTGATACAACGAGATCGCACAAACCAACACTTCCTTGGAAGCCTTCAGGATTTCAGAATTTACTAATCGATTTCAACTGGAGACTCTGGCTTTTGCAATAAGTAGGACCTTCATTTCATACTTTGTACATAACTAGCTGAACGTGGAGCAGTGGATGAATTGAGAAAGATTTGTTGTTCATGAGGGCATTCTCTAATCGTGCGTTGGCAATACCCAACATGCCACGAGGTGATGCTGAATTCCATCGAGCAGCCTTCTACCGATTCAATGTCCCTGGATCCGTTCCTTTCCTCTTGAACGAGACACCTTCAACAGAGCGTGCTGAGTGGTCAACTACTCGGCGAGACAGCACTGGTGCTGGTTGTGAACAGACAGACGTGGTTCATGGTGCAATTCCTTGCCTTGTTGAGTCAGATCATTTTGCTGATGGAAATTTGAGGTTCTGGACGACTGAAACGATTGATGGAAGAGATAGAATCGAAATCTCGTTAGATCTCCAAAAAGGGAGCCACTCACGTCCTATTCCTGAGGGCGATGACTCGGGAGGGTTAGACGAGATCAAGTCGCTATTTCTCGGCGACAACGACATAACTCCGTTGCTTTCTGTTGCATTGGCGCGTGAGATCAGATACAACAAAACTTTGAAGCTCCTGGATCTCAGTTCTAATAGTATTTCGGATCAGGGCGCTAGTGCCTTGTCGGCCGTTCTGATTGCCAACTCAACGCTAGAGTCTCTTGACATTGCTAGCAACGGCATTTCGCAGCATGGAGTTGCTTGCCTAGCAGCGGGTCTTAAACACAATTCAAGCCTGAAATCGTTGGAGCTGAGCTTCAATGGTTTTGGTGATTCTGGGGTTGTATTTCTTGCTGATGCGGTCCAAAGAAACAGCTCACTTCAATATTTGGGTCTTGGTTTCAACGGCATCCTTGAGTCTGGTGCTTCTGCTTTGTCGCAGGCGTGCTTGATGAGCAAGTGCCTGACGAAGATTGAGCTCAGTTACAATGCCATCGGAGACTGTGGGGCGGAGATCCTCAGCGGGATGCTGGAGAGAAACCCTGCTCTGAAAGTCCTCGGTTTGGTATGTAACGGCATTACAGACAAAGGCGCAAAGTCTCTTGCCAGGGCACTGGAATCGAACAGCAACTTGAAGGTGATTGGATTAGCATGCAACGAGATCACGGATGATGGTGCGGCAAGCTTGGCAGAAATGCTCAATCATAACGATTCGCTCCAAGGGCTCTACCTGGAAGAGAATGATATTGGGGAGGTCGGATCGGCACTGCTAGCAAAGGCGCATAGGACAACAACAGTTTGCACGCCAATGAATTTTGAAATGCGTCTTGCGGTCCTCATGGGGACCCACCGACGTCTGGGGCAAGATAGCATCCTTTTCCTACTCGATGCTTTGTTATCCAGGGACATCGTTGTGTTCTGCAACGATCATGCACCCAGAGATGTTCTCTACTACCCCAAGATAAAGCAAGACGAGGAGTGATGTCACTCACTTGTACATGAGACTGTAAAGGTGCATTAGTTGGTTGAGGGGTGATGTGATGATAGTGATTGTCAAAATAAATTGTGAAAAACCATTTCAATTCAAACAACCACCTTCATGTTCTGTACTGTACACTGATGCAAGGCTTCTCTTGCCATCTCTACCATGTATGCCAAACATGAGAAGGGCTCTGGGCCTGTTGACCTTGCGTTCTTGCGCTAGCCTGGCAGATGATACAGGTGTCAAGAATCCTTGAGTTGAAGGTTACACGCTCACCTTTCTCTGAGTTGCTAACAGCTCATCATCAGCCTGATACTTCACGTCAGGCCGATTGGTTTTGGCCTCTGCTCTTACCTCGTCCGCCTTGTTGCCGAAGAGATTCAGCTTCGACATGGGAACTCGAGAAGCCTGTCTCAAGGTTCAGGAGTCCAACACAAGGGACATCAAGTGCTTTACAGGTGAGAAAAATTGGTCATCAGCGTAGGAAGCAAGATCTCTACCCCTGTAGATTGCCTTGAACTCGCCCGCACCCTGAGGTAAAGCAAATCAGCGCAAGGAACCGATCGGTCAGTTTGTTCGAACCAGATCCTCTCGGGCACCCTTGACGGTGGTGCCTTGGTCACCACGGCGAGTGAATCTTTGAGTTCTGAGCACCTTGAACTCTTCGGCTTGCTGTAGCAAGCGTCATCGAAGAGCAAACGTGACAGAGAAGCAAAGTCACTGATGCGCAAGGGGCAGCGGCAAGAGAATGTCCTTCAACGCGGTAATGGATTCCCTTGCATCCCAGGATCTTCGCATGTTGCAGTGCTAGAAGTTCAGACTTCTTGTTTGCCATCTTGAACTTCCCCTAATGAAAACAAGTCATAGGCATGAGCGTGTGGAGCTTGTGGCACGCAATCTGCAAAATGCACCTTCAAGGCCAAACTTTTCAGCTGAGAAAGCTTCGACGTGTGGAGCTTGTGGCTTCCAACAACTCGCTGTCTTCTTTGCATCTGCCAGGCAAGGGGTTAAATTCCTTCACAGGAAAATCTCCCACTCACCTGTGAAGATTGGCTGGAAGGATGGCCAGCAAGTACTTTACCGCCATGGACATGCTTCAAGTATCTTGATTCCATCCATTCGATAGGATCAGGGATTCTCCTCTTGTTCATGTTTGATGTCTTGATAGAATTTCTCATGGCAGACACCGTGCTTGTAACCTTGTTTTTCAACCAATCCGCAGGATCCAATACTTTGTATGTTTTCTTCTCCTTCCCTTTCACAACCTTGAGCATCGTTTGTCTACTCTTCGTCGCAGCTGGCTCCTCTCCTTCTCCTTCTCCTTCTGCTCCCTCAGTTGATTCCTCCTCCCCTTCTGTTCCTTCACTCTCCTCAGCCCCTTCACCCTCTTCAGCCTCAGTCTCCTCGCCTTCTGCTGCTGCTTCTGTCTCATTCTTCGACTCGCTAGCCGTAACGTTTTCAACTTCCTCATGTCCCACAATCCTGCCGTTGACGAGCTTGAGCTCACCAACATCTTGATTCGGATACCAATCTGTCGTGTTATCCGGCATGTACTGCAGCGAACACATCAGCATACCACTAGTCGAGGAGTGAGAACAGCATCTCACAAGGCAGGAAGAGGAGCAGCATACAAGAGGAAAACAATGAGAACCTGAACGAGTCCGAGAGGTCTCCGCTCGTCAAAGGGCCGAGGAAGGGAATGCATTGCCCAAGGCTCATAGCGAGGCCCGGTCATTCCAAGAGAGTACAGCATCGTCTCTGATGTAGGACCGGCAGTGTACGCAACAAGAACCATGGCCGTAAGACATAGTGGGATGGTTAGTAGGAGATAGGAGGAGGAGGAGGAGGAGGAGGAGGAGGAGGAGGAGGAGGAGGAGGAGGCAAAGGGAAGCAGCGCTTTCCTCTCCCCGCGCATGGTCCCAGTGTCGCCAAGAGGCGTCGTGGGGCAGAAAACAAAGTATATGTGATTGGGTATACGTGTTTTGCTGTCCTTGTGGAATAGTACCCCCACCCTACTCTTTTCCTTCTCAATCATTTTGATGTACCGGGTTCTACAAAAGTGTCATGTGTACCCCTATGTATTACTGCTAGACTACCCCTGCTGTTGAAGCATCGTTCCGGCTTGCCTCAGAGTCGTGGTGCCCGATGCACACGTGCCGATTTTCGTTGATCAGTCAGAACATGAGAGAAGAGAGGAGGAGAGGAGGAGAGGAGGAGAGGAGGAGAGGCGATGATGAGAACATGGGAGAGAGGGGAAGCGACGATGAGAACATGGGAGAGAGGAGCGACGAGAGGAGGCGAGAGGATAAGGAAACGAGGTCGAAAAAGGAACGAATGACCGAGCACTTGTTCGAGAGCTCCATGAGAGGTTTTAATGGTAGTCGCAAGCAGCTGGTTTCATCGATCATTGGGATGCTCACAATCGTGCAAGACTGATCGTGGTGGCAGGAAAACCTCATGGCGTCTCAGCTCGACCCTTCTGTTGTCTCCCTCTTTGCCGATGCAGTCCGAACAGTCTACCAGGCACGTCGCTCACTTGCTGCGCTGCTGCTGACGTTTGCTGCTGCAGAGGTGGACAGCGTTGAATCTTGCGGTAGATGTAGAGTATGCGGGTGTGCATGAAGCTGAAAAGCGTGCAGGTCACTAACGAATGGGGGGACGGCGACAACATGGCGAAACGAGAGAGTTTGATAGAGCAGACTGTCTCAGGGTTTGTGGTGCGAGAACAAAAGTATGAGTCTCTTTGCTAACGGAGGCGACAGACGAAGCGGAATGCTCCTGATCCCAGCGAGTTGGAGGAATTTCTGGATCAATACCTGCAGGTTGCTCACTTTCCCTCGTAAGCGTGAGGTAGTGGCGGTGAGAATGCAACAGGAAATGTTCAACACGGAGGCGGATGATGACAGTCCGTATGAGGTGAGTCTTGAACCTCGTCTATTCCTCTTTCTCACCATCACCGAAGGTTTCCCATCTCATCTGCAGATTGTTCGAACTTGTGCGGTCTGGCAGCATTGAAGAAGCTCGTGCTCTGCTCAGGTCTTGTACCCACTGGAAATTTACTTGCCATGACGAGGACGTTCTAGTGCCCCTGCGGCCAGCCTGGATCAATGTGTAGCAGACAACCAGGGGGAGGAGGACAGCAGCGATGGAGGTTCGGACTGTGAGATGATGGAGGAAGACGGCGGCTCCTCGGCTGCTCCCGAGACAGTTGAGCTCACCGCTGAGCAGCAGGCGGTGTGTATGCTGCTTCGTACGTGATGCGTGTGATTCTTTGAGCAGGACATCGATGATGGATGGGGAGTCGTTGTCCGGACAAGCAAAGGGAGGACGAAGCAGGTTGTAGGAGGAAACACTTGATGGTATCACTTGCAAAGTCGTGGAGTTACTGCCGCTGCTCCTGCTCACTTTCGTTTCCTCACACTCTCGCAATTCAGTCCTCCATGTCCGTTTCGTCCATGTCCCTGGAGAGGAGAGAGGACAAGGTTGGAACTTGGTCGAGGTTACCCTGCGCGATGGTCAACATCTCGTTCAAGGCCTCAACCAGACCTTTCCTTCTCTTGCATCTCCCTTCGGATCATCTTCTGTATCAGACTCTCTGCCTCCTCTCCTTCCACTGTATCCCAACTCCCCTTCATCTCAGCGGCTTCCTTCCCCGGTTTAGCTTGGCCCGGTTCCTCCTCGCAGTCCACAACCTGTCCGACACCTGCGGGAGCGTCTGTGCAAAGGGAGGTACACTACCTCCTCAGCTTACTCATCACAGGTTGATCCGTGGGGATGTAGATGGGCCAGTCGTCTGCGTCTCCCCCCTGTTCCTCCATCTTAGTTTCTGGAATGCCACGAGGTCGCTAACCTGAGCGATGAACTGATCCCGTTCCTCCATCTTCTTCTCGAAGTCACTTCGAACCTGCAGATGGTCAAGACGTGAGTTTCCCTCCCGTCTCCTCCTCCTCTGTCTCTCTTCCCATCTTTTCCTCTTCCTGGTTCCCTTCCCCCTTCAATCCCCTACACATCCCTTCACCTTCTCCATCTTCTCTTGAATGATTCGCCGCTGCTCAGCCCATGGCGGCTCCTCCCTGTCTCGCGTCCCAAAATCTTCAGACTGCTCCTGGGCCATCTCATTCTGCTGGAGGCCAAACTTGTCATTCCACCCTTGTGTTATATTTTCCTGTCTCAGCGATGAGGAAACGAAGGAACAACAGCATCAAGAGTCATGTACCTTCATAGAAGTGATTTCCTCATTAAACTTCCTGTCTTGTTCCTCAAGACGTGCTCTTCTGTACTCTCCTGTTCACAAGAATCGTCAGCTTCCTCGCCATCAGCTCCACTGCTTATATTACTTTCAGCGGTTTTGTTGTAGGTGACGTTTTCATACAAATAGAATGGTTCCTCATCCTCATCCTCATCCTCGTCCTCCTTCTCCCCCTGTTCCTCATCCTCATCCTCTTCCTCTTCCTCCCACACTTTGTTCTTATCCTCAGTCATCCAGTCATCCACCTTCACGCCTGCTTTCTTCAAGGCGTCCAGCACCTCAAGATTGCAGGAGGAGATAGCAAAGTCCAGCGGAGTCTCTCCGAAGTTGCTTCGTAACTTGCAGTCGCCGCCCTGCAATCGATAAGCAGCCATCAACTGTCTTTCCCCCCCCCCCCCCGCCTCCTCCCGCCTCCTCCTCCCTCCTCCTCTCATCTCCGCCCTCTCCTTCCCGTCGTCTCCTCGTCTCCTCCTCAGTCCAGCTGACCTGCTCGACCAGCAATTCAACCATTTCCTTCTTCCCTCCCTCGCATGCCCAGTGGAGAGGTGACTCTTTCTGAGAGTTCACAATGTTCACTTTCGCTCCTGCAGCGAGGAGAAGGCGAGCCGCTTCAACGCTTCCTCTGATGGAGGCGTAATGTAGTGGAGAGGACCTGAGAAACCGAGCCAAGGACAAGAAATAGGAGGAGGGACAGGGGGAGGAGTTAGTGATCAGGAGTCGAAGGAGTCGAGTAGGAGGAGGTGGATGGCAGTGGTGAGATTGAGGCGACGACTCGATCGAGGATACACAACGATTTCTCACCCGTAAAGCTCTGAGCTTTTGAAGTTCACGTCGATTCCTTTCTTGATCTAGAGGACAAGAATCAAGGTTTGAGATGGCAAAGAAATCAGGCCTCACCAGATTCTCGAGAGACTGAATGTCGTTGTCCTCTGCCGCTCGCATCAACTCTTCGGTGTCTTCCAGTTTGTAGTGCCCGGATTTCTTCATCTCCGCCAGCTGTATAGGAGGAATGTTGGAGACAGGCTGGAGGAAGAGAGGGCATCATTGCAAGAAACTTGCTTTCTCCATCAGAAGAAGCTTACGTTATCGTCTTCAACTTCACTGATGGGACGGAAGCAGCTAGGACATTCCAACCAGGCGATGAGCACTGGATTCTGACAAGAGGAACACATGGTCCAGCCCTCAGGCAGATCGTCGTCATCCACGTTCTCTGCAAGCTCTTTTCTCCTCCTGATTCTTCGCTGTTCCTGCAACAGATGGTGATGTGATGTTGGAGCGAAAAATGGAAAAGGCGAAGAGAGGAGGAGAGGAGGAGAGGAGGAGATGAGGAGAGGAGAGGAGGAGGACGGAAAGGGAGGAGACGCTTGTAACCTCAGTCTCTGTCTCAAGGATCTTCTGCTCTAATGGTTTAGCCTTGAGCTCCAATTTCTCCCCTTTGCTGGATGTACTTGAACGAGGAGGACAGAAGTTTCTTGAGTGACGTCATTACCTTCATCTGGCAAGAGCATGCACAGACCTGTGCTCTGGCCAGTGCTCTTTCTGGCATTCACTCCCGCAGTAGAAGAACTTCCGGCACCAAGGACACTTTAGCAGCGTTTCCACCTGCATGCATGTTATCCACAACCAGTCTGATCTCCTTCAGCTACCATGTCCCTTGTCTTCTTGCAGTTTGCGCACTCGTCGTTAGCCGATTTATCTTTGCTGCTGACATGCATGATCGTCAACCTGTCGAGAAGCGACGGGAGAAGGACAAGGACGCATGCACTCACCCCCCTCGGATATGCGGCAAGCTCTTCCAACATCGTTCGAACACGAGGAGCGAGGAAGTCGGGTGCTTGCACAAATCCCATCGAGTAGCATGGAGGTCGCAGAGAGGAAGGAGGAAGATAACGAGGGGCAGAAGCTTGTGCAGGTTCCTCATTCAACCTGGTGCGGTAGGGTAAAGGTCAATGAACATCATTCACCTCTTCTTCTTTTCGGCGCTTCCTAGCTCCGCTACTTTTCTCCTCGCCTCGCCTTCTCCCCCCCCTGCTTCATCCTCTCTTTCTGTCTTCCTGCTTCCTAGAACCATTCTCCTCCCCTCCTTCGTCCCTCCTTCCTCCTCGTTTGTCTATGCGACTCATGAGCAGAGCATGGAAATGCTTGCGGGCTGGGTAGGGGTTACTTCTACTGAGTGTGAGTGGGTGGGGGTACCGAAACATGCAAGCGGTCGGATTGGAAAACACAGTTTCATGAAAGGGGAGAGGAGAGGAGAGGAGAGAAGAGGAAGAGGAGAGGAGAGAAGAGGAAGAGAAAAGTGGTTACATGAAGAGAAGATAATGGAAAGACAAGAGAGCGGGATGTAATAGAGAGTCAGAGAGGAGGGTGCAGATGAGAACTGGTGTACATCGGGAGCAAGGGAGGTTGCTCTAGCATTTCTCAGCCATGTGTCTCTTGTGTTGAAAACCAAAGGATGAAGCACGGATTGCGGTGATTATTTCTACCTGTCATGATCATTCGACGGCATCTCTTGCTCTTGCTTCAACTTGGAGCTGTAGCTCTTACATCCCCCCTCAAGCAAACTCCTCTACCGAGTGTATACGACTACCTCGATGGAAGGAAGACACGATATTTCGAAGGGAAGGATTACTTTCTCCATATCCCCGTGGCTCCTCCCCGCTGGATTCTTGATCCAGACCAGAAGGCGCTAAAGGAAGCTTCGCTCGAGCCAGAATTCCTTGATTTTCGTCTGGACTATTTCCAGTCTATGAAGGAAGCAAATGAAACCTGGTGGAAGACTGTAGGGTGCATCAAGTATGCTCAGAACAAGTCTTGGGCGAACATGCTCAAATCTCTGCAACCTTTGATCCTTGCTGAAGAGGTCGTCGTTGAGCTTCTTCATACACGTCTGACTCTCTCCCAGGATCCCTACATCCCGCATGGAAGGAAGAACATGACACGGAAGACCGTGCGACAGGATCTGTTAAGCTTGACTTGTGTGACTTCACTCCAGGCTCATTTCAACTCGCCCATGTATTATGTCTATGATCGGTGAGTTGAGTTGGAGCGCGCTTGTTGGATAGAAAAGTCACTCACATGCTAGCTCGACGTTCTCATATTTTCTCCCCTTGCGGAGTGAAAGTGACGAGTTGGTCTCGGTGAGTTGATTATTATGCTCAAATATGCCGTGAGCCTTGTCGACAAGTTGTGGGACATCACGAAGAAGTTGTGGAAATGCTGTGAGAATGGGCAGACCAACCTTGCAAGGTGAGAAGAATCTGTCAATCAAGTTTCTTTTGACTGGGTGCTTTCCACTGGACCGACCTCAGAACGTGTATAGAAGCCGGTGCCTACTTGAACGCGGTAGACTACACGAACCCTCTTGGATACACAGCGGTAGGAAGTTCTTGATTTGTGATGGATTCATGACAATTACTCGCATGACAAGGTGTTGTGGGCTGCTTTCGGGGGACACGGCCGAACTCTTCGCATGCTGGCTGAAGTAAGGCAGATAGACGTGCTGTTGTGATATGTGATCAAATTTGCCAGATGGGAGCCAACCTTGAAGCTAGAGACCAATCCAACGGAAACGCCCTGCATGTTGCTGCAAGGTTTTTTCTTCCATTTCATTTACGTCGTCAGAAGTTCGTAATTGGTGCCAAGATATGGTTTTACCGACGTCTGCTCCGACTTCTTCGAGCTAACAGACGGAAACTTGTACGCTAAGGACGATTACAAGCGCCTTGCAGTGCATGTGTCAAGCTTCTATGTAAGTGAAATTGCCAATTGTGTAGTCCTTCATCGTTTCTAAGGGCCATGCGGACACGACTGAGAGACTAGTGAACTTGGGATCGAATGTGAACGCACAAGACTACAGGTCCAACATAATCAGCGCGGCTTCACCGGTCCAACCTGATAATCTTGAGCGCAGAAAGGATACACCGTTGCACCTCTGCTGCTATAAGGGAGATTTGAGGACAGCAAAGATCCTTGTCTGGCTCGGAGCTGACCTGTGGCGGAAAAACTTCAGAGGCAAATCAGTCGAGAAAATCGAACTGAGCATTGACAGACAGCAGGTATGAAACCCATCGACATCGCAGAGAAGTATAGGAGAAGGGAAGTGTACAACTTCCTGGAGGTGATCTCCTACCCCGCACGATCGCCATACAGGCTCACACTTTGTCAGTCGGTCATGGGAGAGAAGTGTGTTTTCAGAGGGATACCGTACTCAGCCATTCGATGCAAAGAAAGACACCCTCACTTTCCTCCCGAGCTCTTCCACAGGTAGCGCCGCCTTCCGCCCTCTCCCTCCCCCCTCGTTCCCCATCACCTTGTCGTTCTCTTGTCATTCGAGTTTACAGGATGTCCCGTGACGATGTAGAGAACGTGACAGCTCCCAACGATGTGATGACGAGGCCCCGGTTGCTTCTGGTGTCTGACAGAGCACAGGATGCTTGGAAGTATGGGAATCCCGAGCTTGACAGCAACGACCCCAGCTCCATCTATCGGAACCCGTGAGTGACTTCGACTTTGACTCGCATGCATGCGGGGCTCACGTCAGAGGTCAGGGAGGCGTGGGAGTCTATCCTGAAGAGCACGGAGGACGTCCTTGCTCAAGGGAGGAACTACTTCGCTCGAGATGAAGGCGTGGCCGACCTTATCAAGGATCGAGAAGAGCAGCTCTTCTCCTCTATGAACCAGACGCAGGCGGAGGCTGTGCGAGATCTCTGCGACCTTATGGTCGCTCAGGAGCGTGCGATGAGGAAGAACACACTGACGCTGAGGCGAGGGCTGGCGAAGCGCCTCATCCGATTCAGGTGCAGCTTCCCTGAGGCATGTTGATGACGTGACCTCGCAACGTGAGCAGGAAGAAGCTTCAGCTCAGGCATGGACCCGCCGGTCGGCAGGACGACTTCGTTTCTGGCGTTCACGACCTCTTCCAAGGCAGGCTGGACCAGCCTCACCGGCACAAGCCACCAGACCTACTAGACATGCAAGCTCTGAAGAACCTGCTCTGATTTGAATGAAGACTCCAAAACAGCTCACCTCAGATAAATATTCAAGGACAGCATTCATATTACCATAATCTTCACGAATTCGTTTTTACTGTCCTGTAGCCTCGTAGACTCAAAGACCACCCCTTTCTTTCTCTTGTTTCTACCCCACCCCCTCATCCCCACGAGCGCACTCGTGTATGATCGCTGCTCTTACAGAACTCCACTGTGGCTGCTATGCCTCTATCCTCGTCTTGCTCATGCTCACTCTATTTAGCTCCGAACCCTCTTGACTCTCCTGTCTCGCTCCTTCCTCTCCTGTCTTGTCCACACTCAGTGGATCTTGCCTTCAGCCCCGTTGTCCTGAAGTCTCTTAACAACTGTATCTTGGCTCTTTCTTACCCTCTACTTTTCCTTTGCACTCATACTCTCCACAATACACTGCCTGAGTTTTGAAGGAGTGGAGTGATCTTACAGTAGATCCTATAGTAGTCCACATAGCACTCCTATGAGTTGTGTCGTATGTGCTGGTTCTTTTGAAGCCTAGACTGCATCCCGCTAGTTCGGCTCCCTCTGATCACTTGCGGTGCAGGCAGGCGGATGCGCAGGATCTGAGAGGCTCTAGTGCGACCGGCGAGATGATTGACTTGCGTGAAAGCCTCAAGAAGCGCAGAGAAGCTCGAGCGAATCTTCCTGACAACCCCAAGAGCAAAGAGGAAGAATCGCTAGAAAATGGTGACAAGGAGCTGTCCTCTGAAGGCCCAGAAACCCAAGAAGAGAATGGCGATGTTGATGTGTCAGTGGACATAGGGTATGACCTGAGGGAGGTGCTGCAGCGAAAGCGGGATGGTCAGAAGCTTGAATCGAAACAAACCGATCAGAGCGTCCAAAGGACGGACAACTTGAGGATCCACAGTGTAGACAACAAACGCTATGTCCGCAGGGATGATTCGAACCTGCCGACCTCGGCGTTTCAAGATGAAGCAGCAGAAGGAGACGCACGAGGAGACAAGTCGTTTGAGACTGCCAGAGATCAGATACCTGAATCAGATGCCCGCAACACAGAACTTTCGGCTGATTATCAGGCTTCCGTTAGGAGAGATCGGTGCGCGATATCAAATCCTTGCGGCTGCTCACTTACACCTGTTGACAGATCTCCTGTAGCTGATGTTGCTCACGGCTCATCGGACGGCAGAAGACCTGGAAAGCGAGGGAGAAACTCACCTGCTGTATCGCCAGAGCCTGACAACAGAGATTTCTCCAAAAGGAGGAGGTTTGAAGTGAACACGTCTTCCACACCCGATCGCAGACATGGCGATCGCTTTCGTCCCATGCAACCAGCGCTCGTCTCTTCTCCTGGGGCTGGTCGGGGTCGGGCACTCACAACTCCAGCATGGAAAGCTCGCGACTCCCCCAGCTTGCCGAGGGACGGTGCACCGCTGGGAGGAGGTGAACGATTGTTCCAGCCTAGGACACCTCCGGATGATCAGAACCCAGTGGCGAGTGGGGAGATGGCAAGAAACTCGATGAGAGGCAGAGATGATCATGGGAAGGATAAGCGCTGGGAGGATGCCGAAAGATCTCCAAGACGCAGACGAAGTTCGCCGGATCGTGCTCCCTTTCGAGACCACGCCCAAAGCAGACCAGGGGCGAAGGTCGGCCATGACGGTGGAGAAGGGAAACGTTCAAACTTTGATGCAAGAGGTGATCGACGGCCAGAGTTCGGACGAGGAGAAGTGAATCCAGACAGAAGTAGGGATCGCTTCGGCGAACAGAGGAGGATCGAGCCAGACCGGTCCCCCCAGAGGAGGAACGAGCGAGACCGGTCCCCCCAGGGAAGGGTACAGAGAGACCGGTCCCCCCAGAGGAGGAACGAGCGAGACCGGTCCCCCCAGGGAAGGGTACAGAGAGACCGGTCCCCCCAGAGGAGGAACGAGCGAGACCGGTCCCCCCAGGGAAGGGTACAGAGAGACCGGTCCCCCCAGAGGAGGAACGAGCGAGACCGGTCCCCCCAGGGAAGGGTACAGAGAGACCGGTCCCCCCAGAGGAGGAACGAGCGAGACCGGTCCTTCCAAGGGAGGGAGGATCGAGACCGGTCCTTCCAACGCCGTCCTCCACCGCAGATGGATCGATCGAGGGCGTCACCTCCCAGGTTCAGGGAACCTGCTCAAACTTTTCACCAGATGGGACGAGGCGATCGTCGCTCTGAAGGCCGTCAGATGCCCGGGAATCGCTCTCCTCCCCGCCGTCGCTCCCCCCCAAGGAGAGACGAGCCCAACGCCACGCGCGGTCGAGACGATAGGAGAGAATCTGACGGGAGGTGGAGAGGAAGAGCTGGATCAGTCGGTCGCTCTGGAAGAATCTCCCCAGAGCTCAAGAGAAGGGAGCCAGAGCTGGACAGAGGACGACGGGACCGCTCCCCGCCGCAGCGGCAGAAGACGCCTGAGAGATCATGGCGGGAGGGCCGGGGCAGGAGCAGGTCACCACAGGTTGTCTCCCCAGTGCAACGTGAAAGGCGTCGACCGATCTTCACGGAAGCTGAGCACCTTCCACCTGTGGTGGGTGTTAATGCCTTCACGGGCGATGGCCAGGAGAAGCCGCGCTACCAGGAAGGCCTAGTGGACGGTCATGCGGTGGATTGGGGCTGGGCAGGAGAGGCAGCAGAGAGGCAGGGAGACGTTGCAGGAGAGATGTGAGGACGGCTCTTAAAGGAGAGTAAACTACACAGACGAAAGGCCTGTGAGGATGATTCGAGTGTGGAGGAGTGCGTAAGGACCTTCATTCTCTCCCCAGTTGAATTTCACCGACTTCAGCGCCTATCTCGCCTTCCCTTGAAGTACATGTAGACAGACATAGCGGCGAAGCTACAACCCGTCCACCACAACATGTTCCCTAGTCGGAGCGACTTAGCTGACTCTGCCCGCATCTTGTCCAGCACCTGCTGGCTGTTATTTCTTCACCTCTCCCTCATACCCTCCTCACCTCCTCCTCCGTGCCATATTCGCAGATGGCAGGCTTTGAATCATCGCGCATGGCCTTGAACACCTGCCGAGTGTCACAGGTGCAGGAGGAGGAAGTACTGCCGATCTACCAGTCGTCGTCCGAGGGGAGTTGGTTCAGTACCGACATATCCGCAAAAGAACAAAGGTCTGCCCATGGGAATTACCTTTTCCTCCTCCCTGGTTCCGACTATGATCTGCAGGAGATTCAGATGGGAAGCGAGTCAAGCAGAGCCAGAGCTCGCCCAGCACCGGGGGAGGCATCGTCTCATTGGGCAAGTAAGCGTTCCTGTAGCTGCTTTCGCTATTGGACGGCCTAGTTGGGTATGAGGACTGCAACAGCCAACGATGACTGTACCTCCACTTGGAGGAGTTGTCAACGAAGAGATGATTCAGAGAGACGGACTCTTCTATCTTGATGCAGTTGATATCGTCAGGATTCCGTTGAAGTGCGTCTACAAGGAGCGTCATGGTGAGCAAACACAAGAAATACAAGGAAATTTGAAGCTAACACAAAAAATACAAAAATTAGTCCACCATATTTATGTCTCAAGGTCGCCTGTTCAGAGGATCATGAACAAGAGACATCACAGTAACAAACATCACCTCCCACTTCTCGCAAAGTTCACTGACAGACTTCTGAGACTTCATGTCTGGTTACTCCTCACCGCTAAGGCAGTGTTCCTTACCTTGCGATTCAAAGCCTTCAAAATCTCCCTACATGCTTCGACCTTTCCTTGTAGCTGGATAGTTGATCGCTCCACCTGGGATGCAGTGAGCACTCTGATATGTAAGAAGGATAACATCACAATGTCATGTTCGAGGGCCTGCAACTCTCTCCTTGAGTTCTGCGCTGCCATACTTGGATCACGCAAGTACAAGTCTCCGCCTCGCCTTTTCTTGGACAAGACCTACGAGAGTCCTAGGTGAAACAAGATCCCTTGGGGCTGTGTGTTTCCACACCGTCTCATCTTGATACCAGGAGCATTTCCCACAGTTCATGTTGTCAACAGAGTAAACATTCTTCCCTGGTAGCGAGCTCAGTCGTTCCTACGATATTCTCTCGGATTTACCTTCACATCTAACTTTTTGACAGACTTCAACGATTTCATCCAAGATTGCTACCTGGATAATTCCCTGTGAGTGTTGGATTTTCTTCATCCACGGCTCTTCACATGCATCTTCCCAAATCTGTCTGGCACAGCCTCGTTGGGTCTCGCCCAAGTTTCCCCAACCTGCGAGCAGGTTGTGTGAGGGGGACTCATGCCATGAATCTCTCCGCCTCCTCACCACTTTGACGTACTCCATAGGTTTCATCAAATCGTGTCTCTTCCTCCCTCTCACATGCTCCTCCTCCATCTCAAGCTGCTCCATTTTCACCCACACATCTCGCACCTGTGAAAGAGTTCTAGTTCAGCAAGGAACTTGTACTCGAGGTGTTGGCCTCACGTTTGAGCGGGGAGTGTGCATGATCATCATCGTTTGTTTCTTCTTCTTCTCGGCATGAGATCTCAAGTATCCGCCTACCACCATCGCCACAACTCCCGCTAACCCTGCTGCTGCTGCCATGGCCAAGGCAACAATCGGGGACCAACTCCCCCATCAGTCCCGTTAATAATTCTTTTAGCTCATCACTTTCTTTTATGTGTTTAGCTAAATAGATTGACAATTTCCCCCGGTTCGGTAGAAGGCGATGGAGGTATAGAGAAGGACCCCCTACCCCATCATTGAACCGCTCACGCACCTATTCTAGTACCCACCCCTTCCTGGATTTCCTTCTCCCCCGATGCTGCTTTCCGATGGCACAGGGAGCTGGTGATGGGAGGGGAGGATGACGAGCAGAGAGCAGAAGAGCGAGGGAGTGAAACCATGCATAGAAGAGCGCAACAATGTTATGAGGCTTTCCAAGAGATTCAGGAAGCTGTGCTGGTATGGAATGCTGCTGCAGATTCAGAATGAGAATGGGTTTATGAGTAGACTAAACAACAGGAGGGTAGAGAAAGAAGCTTTCGGTGGAGGGTAGGATACATCACTGTGTTGAATCCTTTTATTTGTGCCCTTAGGAACCAATTGCATCCGCTCGTTCTTGTCTTGTTCTCCTATTGTTGGAGAAGATCACTTTCTTAGCTGACGCGATCTCCAGATCCTCTCCGTACTGAGCAGCGAGTTCGGACGCCATGCAGATGTCACACAAGTGACTTGAAAGCGTTGGAGAGTTCATCTGTGAAGTTTGGTGGGGTGAGCCTGATGCAGATTGACTGGTGAGAAGGGGAAGTGGAGCTTGATCCTCCCGCGTTCCTGTCGCATGTGGGTGCATCGTTCGTGAGCTCATAGGGAGTGTTTCTAGTCTGCTGTAAGGACATGAAGACTCGTAGCCAATCTCTCTTGTTCGCTGCGCTTGGGATAGCAAACATCTTCACATGCTCTGCTTCCTTCAGCGCGAGGAGGGATGACTCGGGTGTAGGGAACGCGACGAAAGAGTCATCACAGGATTCTTTCAATATTGGGTTGAAGGCTGACAGCAGCTTTCTCTGCATCGACCAGACCGCGAGCAACTGGACTGCAAGCTATGCTGGCGTACACTTGTTGCAGTGTGGCAACCAGTCGGTCGCACAAGAGCATGTCACGTTCAAGAACAGTATGGTAATGCTGGGATCTCAGGGGCCGGACTGTCTTCGGGTGGTAAACACATCAGACGCTACTTTGGAGCTTGCTCCGTGCAATGCAAGTGAAGCACAGACGTTCTGTGTTGACTCAGTCGGCAATTTACACATGAGGGACAAGGAGCAGACGTGCCTTGTGGCAGTGGAACACCAGGCTGCTCAGAGCTCGGGTTCGTATTACACTCTTTCTTTGCAGACATGTATGCAGGAGAACGACTCTCTGCATGTGTTTGTTGCTGTGCCATCATATGAAAATCTCACCAGCGAATTGAAATGCTCCTCGAGGAATGAAACCCTTCCTGCTTCGAATGAGCACGGGCAACATTGGGAAAACGCCTCTATGGGAGTGAACAACACCCTTCCTCCATCTCATAACATCTCCATGGCCAACAAGACCGTCTACAACTTAACGAGTAACATAACTTCAGGAAACTGGACGAATGCGTCACTTGCTCCTGTAGCCATCGATGTATCAGGGGCCTTTGTCAGTTGTGCGATCCAGCTCATCAATGTAAATATGAACACATTCAGCAAGGAAGAAGTCCTCGTTTCCTTTGTAGGAGCTGTCAAGTACGCTCTCGAGCTGATCAATATTAGGATGCAGCAGGCAAATTGGCAGATCGAGTTTGCGGGATTTTGCAACCTCCAGCACTCGTCTTGCGAGGTGACCTCTTTGCTTTGAATTTGTTATTCTGTGTGATCAAATTTGAAGTTTTCTGAGGCTTTTTCTGGCAGGTCTTTCAGAATTCGACTCAGTACAATCTTACTGGGAGTCTGGCTCGTAAAACTTCACACAAAGCTCCCAAAACACCGAAGGAAGGTCGCAGATCGACTGAAGCATCATGGCGTGCGATGGAGGGGGATGAAAGGTTGGATTTCAACAGCTTGAAGGAGGAGGGCTCCTGGAGTCTGAGAGAAGTTGGGACCGAAGTTTTCTTCTTTCTGAGAAGCACTGTTGTTGAAGAATGGGCCCTGTCACTCGCAGAGTCCGAGGAGAACGAGGAGTGGAACTACCTCAACTCTTCATGGTTTCCTCAGACGGTCCTCTCACTTGATGTAAAGTCGCGTGATCTGACTTTTGACTGTACAGATGAGCAGCAAGATGTCTCTCAGGTAACACAGACAACCTGCGAGATTTCGCTGCTAACTGAGTGATAGTGTCTTGTCCTTGTCTTCTGCTCGCTGGAGCGCTGATAACCCGATGCTTTGCTACGCCAAGGATAAGTCGAGACAGTGCAACATGCAGGGTAAAACTTTGAGCTCTCGCTGAAGATTGCTGACCTTGCGTGCTCGCAGAACTTGTGCAGTGGCTTCAGGACGAGGAGGTCCTGTGCTCTTTGAGTGGAATAGGAGGAGGCGGCGAGGCTGACATCCATGCTCTAGATCGGACTGAGCTTCCTCTGGGGGGATTTTCCTACAATCGACATATTCAACGACCCGTAAGTCATGTCAAGGAGGAGGGAGAAAGACTAGTCGCTCACAATATCTCAGATTCGTTGCTGGCTCGCTCGTAGGAGGAATATTCAGTGCGTCGTTTGTTATGTGGGTCACAATCAAATGCCAGCAGTGGAGGCTGCGAAGGCAATGCATTCTATGTCCTGCGCGCGTCACGCCAGTGCTGACGGTGATCACAGGAAGCGGAAGAGGGCAGGGAAGGATGGGGAGGAGCTGCAGAGGCTTCGCCTCGCAGCGGAGGACTTATGAACTTGACTCAGTGACTCGATAAATGATGTTTCTTCCGGGCCTCCTCCACTCAGTGACTAGTCACAGAGTAAAGATCAGTACGAGGACAATCAGGATAGTCACACGATAGCTCAAGCCCAACTGAGCCCGGCTGAGTGCTCCGAGGCTCAGTACCGTCTATGAGAGAGGCCCGGCACCGGAGGCTCGGGAGTCACTGAGTCCGGCCACGGTGACTGGGTGACCGGGTGCCTCCGAATTGTTCAACGGACGGGGTTCCTTTTAAAGCAATTTGTGGTAAGAGATGGGGTGGTCTAACAGGAGGGGGTGGGGGTGGCCAGAAACGCGGAGAGCTCGAAGAGTTAAAATTTAAGTCATGCAGGCCCAGAGGGGAGGAGGAGGAGGAGGAGGAGGGGGGGGGGAAGGAGCGGCGGCAGTGGCAGGAGCAGCAGGGGGAGTGGGAGCGAACGGAAGGCAGGATGCTGCAGATGATGCTGGTGAAGTAGGGGAGTCCGGTCAACGAGCTGCAGCGACGAGTTCAGGGAACGGTCCACCAGCAGGAGCAGGAGCGTGAGGGTGAGAAGAACCAGTCGGGGATCGATGACACGTCCCTCGAGAAGGACGAAGACATGGAGGATGGTGGATTGCCTCAAAAGCGACAGTCAGAGATAGACAGGCTTGATGAGTCTATGAGGGGCGAGAAGAAGAAGCGAGGCCCCCCCTTGAACCGGGATCAGTTCTCGGAAGAACCCGCTACTTCAGAGCAGCAAGCCGCTGCCATCTTCAAGGGCAAGTGTGAAACGCTGATGATGCAGTCCTGCTCGACAGCAGCAAGAAGCAACCTGGCAGTCTCTCAGTTGGGAGAAGAAGCCTTCTCAACGAGTGTTTTTACTTTCGCCATCGCCCATTTCCATCCTTCATCACAACCTGGTCGCCCACCGAAGGATGGAAGGCGGCGCACAGAGAAGCCTTTGGCCATTGTGTATCCGAATACATCGGGAAAGATGAGCATGCGAGACCTCACGGACCTTGTGGAACAGATCAAGGCTCACCCTGACGGGCAGTACAACAACGACCCCGACCGCAAGTACGACATTGCGATGCTTCGCAACTGCGTGGAAACTAGGGCATACTTCTCCAAGGACAAAGTCAGGAAGATGAAGGGAGGAAGCAATGCAGGAGGAATGCCAGAAATTCCCTCCGTTGTCCCTCCTGCCACCATGGACGGGCATTCTCAGTCTCTCCCTCAAGGTCTTGTGCTCGTTCCGCTCATGGCGCTTCTCTTGACCTGTCTCTGCAGAAGACGTCGGACCAGCGCTGACTCCTGTTGTCAACATGGGGATCGACAAGATCGGTCAGTGGATCAGGAATCTTGGTCTCGGGGAGGAGGTTGTCAGAAGGTTTGAGGAGGAGGAGATGGATATGGAATCGTTGAGCATCTGCAGCAATGAGCAGTGAGTGCTCTGTTGTCTGCCCTTCTCTTGTATCTCCTTCCTCCTTCCTCTCCCTGGTTTCATTTTTGCGATGCCACACCCTCCTCCCCCAACCACTCCCTTCCCTCACCCATCCTGTCATTTGTTGTTGCTACCCCCTCGTTTGTCTCGATCGGCTCACGACACTGCAGATTCAAGGCCATGGGGGTGGTGAAGGCAGGACATCAGAACAAGCTCAAGCTGTGGGCCACACAGGCCTGGACTCGCACGTCGTCCAGGAAGTCCAAGTTAACGCTCTGAGAGGACAACGCAAGGGACTAGGCGATCGATCATGAGTTTCTCACTTTAAACAATCCAATCTAAAGTTCAAGTTCTGTAAAGATTCAACAAGTACCGTAAGGAAAAGAAGATGTCGCTTTGTGACAAGACACCCAGCATAACAGCATGATTTACTCCCTCATAGCAGGTCGTCTGATGTGTCGAATTCCATCTCTTGGGTCTTTGAAGGCCCTAGTGTGAAGTTCGAAGGATTCTCTTCCCTCTTTTCGCCGTGCAGCACGCTAATCCTATTGCTGCGATCTGAACGGTCATATTCTTGCGTCTGCATGCTGTCCAACAAAGTTCGCCTATGATAAAGATAGCTGCAACGAGTGTGAGCAAAAGCGAGGGAATGAAGTTCTAAGGGAAAACCTCTTTCGATCTTGAAGGTTTGAGTCAACATGCACATGCATATTGGGAATGATCCTAGCATGAGTCTGCAACCCGCTCAGTGAAGATCATCCTGCAGGTCAATATGCTCGGCCTCCTCACCTGGATCCCCATCTTCATCTGCTTCAACTCTAAATCCTTCTGCTTCTTCTCCTGCAACATCCTCTCCTCCCATGTCGGAATGTCCCTCCTCCCCAGCACATTTTCTAACGTGTTCTGAAGGCGGATGACCACAGGGTCACTCCTGTCGATGCCATTCACGATTGCGCAGTCGAACGCATTAAGGTCGAAGGGGGGAGGACCCTGCAGCGTCACACGCGATCCAATACGCAGGAGGAGCTCCACAAGGTCTCTGTTCCCTGATGCGCTCGCCATGTGCAGCGGGGTCCACCCCTCCATCTCAGTCAGTGCGTGCGGGTTGGCTCCACGGGCGATGAGGAAGGACGCAGCCTTGCCCTCCCCTGCCCTGCAGGCGGCATGTAAAGGAGTGTCGCCCCATGGGGGACAAGCCCAAGACGCCCTGGCGCCATGGAGGATGAGCTTCTCGAGGGTACCGATGTCTCCGAGCGCGGCAGCCTTGCATAGATGGTATGATAGGATGTTCTGCTCTGCCTTGCCCCACGCGGACTGGTTTCTCGGTAGCTCCTTGGTGTTGCGGACGAGTTCTGCGAATGCTTCCCCTTCCTCAATGATGTTGATGACTTGGCGGTCTTCCTGAGGGAACTGAATCTTTGAGCTCTCGATCCCCAGGTAGGCCAACCTGAGCTCGAACTGCTCCACCAGCATCTTCTGATGAATCTCAGCAGGCAGCAGGACAGGCTTCAGCTCCAGACGTCTTCCAATGCCCCGCGGACTGCACTGCTCTTTGCTCTGCTGTAGTCTCCGTCGCAACATGGCCTCTCTTGGGGTCGTGGGAAACGTCTTGTTGAAGGAGCTCAGGGAGCTCAGGAGAATCTTGGTAGGCTTGTTGCCTGCCTGCCTCTCCTGCAGCCCCTTCAGCCTCGCCTGCACAGGGATCGCAGCAGCCTTGAAGCAGGTAGCGAGGTACTGGTCTTGCTCTGATGGGGGCACGGAGGACTTAGAGAGGTGATGGAGGATGGCCTTGAAAGTTCTCACGGTCTCGTGCAGCTCTGTCATGTTGTTCCACAGTCTCGTTTGATTCAAGCTCTCCTTCACAACCTCAGGAATCTTGGCGGTCTTGAAGATGTACGCTGCGCTTCTGTTCAGAAAGGACCCTATATCCCTCGGAGATCCTGCACTGTCGTCGTACTCTTCCGCTATGTCCGTCATATCGTAGAGAAGCATAAGCTGCCGTTCAAGTCTGTCTGCAGCAGAAGCAAAGGGTCCTTGCAGAGGATTATACCTGTACGCCTCGAACCGTACTAGGACGCTTTCAGAACGGCTCAGGACAAGTGCGTGTGAGAGGCAGAGAAGAGCCACCAGTACCAGCTTCGTAGAATGCATTACTGTCTCGTCTTCAAAGGATAAGATGAAGTTGACAACAAGCTTTGAACTTTCCTGTTGTGACCATGCCATGTTCCCACTTCATCGTTATCATTGCCATGTTCCATCCCTACACTGCCGCAAGTCGCCGCATCTCTCTCTTACACAGGCAGTATGCAGTCTCCGATCGGGGCCGCCCCGCCGGCCCGGGAGGCATGATGCCAGCCCAGGCCGTATCGAATTTAGTTCAGGGCTGGATTAGGTACTCAGCCGTCGGTTTAAACTGGTTTAAACCAGTTTAGCTGCCAGCAGGTTTCTATCCGTTTGTGTCGGCGCCCCGACGGTCAAAGGAAGGATACAGGGGTCGTGACTGGGTTACCAGGGGGTGGTCTCAGAAGCGGAAGGGGTGGGGTCCAAGATAAGTACATGTTGGCTGCACACCACGGGTAGTAGAACAGGGAAATGGCAGTGGGGGTAGGGGTAGGTCAAATCGTCGGGGATGCCACAAGCCTGGCACATAGAAGGAGGGCTACGAGATGGCAATCAGAGGCGGACAAGAGGAGGAGGAGGAGGAGGAGGCTAAGGCTGCCAGATGTACAATAGAGTTCTGATGGACCCCATGCACTATCGCTCCCGAAAGCTGCTCTGATTCTCCAAACAACGGCGACAAAATGTCTTCTTGCCGTGTTCGACAAGAAATGAAAACAAAAACAGCTCATTGCCTGATCAAGCCAGCGATGCGTTTGAAATTGTCCAGATTGAGAACGATTACTCCAATACAGCGCATGCTGCTCATCCAAGCCACTTTTTTACTCCTGATGTACAAACGATGCTCGGCTCAACTCTACGACGCTCAACTCGCGAGCAGGTTTTATATATCGTTCAAGTGAATATGAGTTTGGTGTGTAGTGCCCTTCATTGATGATTGTCTGCTCGATGGCTCTGTTTTACTTAGTCTCTTCACGGACAACAGTTCGTTTGCTTCAATCCTTATGCGAACCTTTAAAGGTACGCTTGGATCCATGCTGTGGGAAAAGAAGGCAAGATCATTGCGAGTAGCGATGCAGGGTTATCCTGGCAGCTGCAGGGCACGGGCGTTACACCTAACGATCTGAACGACGTACGTGCATCTGACCTCGAATGAATCGGCACTGAGACGAGACAGGTCTGCTTCGCGGATCTTAGGAATGGTCTGGTAGTGGGCTCAAGGGGAACTGCTATCATGACGAGAAATCATGGGATCTCCTGGGAAAGTGTGAGTGTTGTCGAGATGCAGTGCGGCAACAACAACAGAGCTTCTGACTTCTGACTAGCTGAGCCTCACACAACTTTCTCTGGACTTCTTGGGTGTCTACTACATGCAAGCAACAGGACCCGCGTACGTCGTTGGGGAGAAGGTGTCGCAATGCAATTGTGCTGCATGCTCAGTCAAACGTTTTCTTGTCAGGGCACTTTCATTTCTACTCAAGATATGAGCACTTGGAATACGGTCTTCTTGAGATGCCCGAGCGAGGGGAGCTTGTGCACGCAGAACAGTACTCATGTCACAAACGACACGGCTTACATCGATCTGTAATTCCACTAGTTCGCCTCTGCATAACTGTAATAGACTGCATTGTAGGCACGGGGTAAGATTCAGCGATTTTAGCAATGGAGTCATCGTGGGAAGCTTTGGGACGGCCATCCAAGTGTCTGTAGATTGGAGTGGACAGACAAACTACTTGCGGCTGAAGAGTATCGATTCCATCCAATACTCTCTGCTGAGACTGGTACACTGTGTTTTGATATACACTCAATTGTGGTTGTTGTTTACATGTATTCATCAGGCTTCTGATAGACTGAGTGACTTGGTAGCCTGTGGTACTTCTATGACAATTTTCCGGGTTGTCCCCGTGTCCAACCACAACAACAATGTGAGTAGACGAAATCAAGTGACATCGAACTTTCTTTCACTTGACTCATTGGTTTGTGGAGTAGAACATTCATTGGGAATGGACAAATTGCACTTCAGAGTCATCTTGTGGTCCAATCAAACTTGATCACATTGTATGGCTCATTTTGTTGTCTTTGACGTTGTGCTGCTCAGTGTCGACACTTATCTTTGTACAGGTTGGCAAAAATTTTCTATCTTGCGCGATTCGAAATTGGATTGATGGAACGATGCAGGTGGGTTAGGGTTTATTTCGCGATCTCGTTGCTCGCTAATGCAGGCATGCAGGTGTTAGTGGGAACAGACTCTGGTTCCTTGCTGATTTACAATCACAGTACATGGGTTGAGCATACACTTGGTAATCACCGCTTTCTTCATGAGTGCATTCTCATACTCCACAGGAATAAATGAGAGTTTGACTGGCTTGTACATCTCAAGCTCCGATGTTATCATTGCAGGAACCTCAACGGGGAAGATCTTCAGAACAGTCAATGGTGGAAAGACTTGGATTCAAATCAAAGCTCCAGCAATGCAGATTCGAAGCATGTTTGGTAGATATCTACTTCTGTGCGCATCCGAAAAATTGCTGAATATGCTCCTCCAGGGAGAAGCCAAATGAGTGTCATGAATGGTTCGATGCGACGAAAAGTCGACAATGCAGCAGCCTACACTCTCATGCTAAGCATGTTTTTGTCAATCATGCACATCTCACGATAGTTTTATTGTTGCTCTTTGAATGATGCAAGAATATTTTTTTTCGAAAGACTAAACCATTCAGGATCAGCAGCATCGTTCTCACTAGAAATCGGGCTTAAATCTGAACTCACCATTCACTATTGCCATAGCCCTGGTTTCTTCCTGCACAAGTTTTGCCAGCATGACGTCATCTACGTCCTCAGGTCGGTGAATCCTGCAACTTTCATCTGATGTATCAAGTGAACCCGACGATAGCAGGTCTAAACATCCTGTGCTTGCGCTGTTCTTGGGGTTGATATACATCGGAAGACTCTTGCGCCGAGGGTGATTCATGCTAGAAGAAAACGCTGATCCCTTAGCTCTGGGCTTCTCCTCTGCAGTCAAGTCGTAGGATGAGAAGGACATCTGCTGCCTGAAACGCAGCTTCTTTCGCTCAATGTCGCTGATTGGGTCTCCTGTCGGAGTGCTGGGGTCGCTCGTCGCTTCACCTCCCTTTAAACTCAAGGATTTTCGTCTGACTGGCGGCGCTAAATTCATCCCCTCGTTCTCCAAGTTGTCCTTGTCGATGCATTTTCGGCCGTTCTTCGCCTTTTCGATCTTCGATTGCGCGTCCGAGGCCGGACTCTCCTCGGAGCTGGCTGCCTTTGGCTTCGATATTTGCGACGATTTCGTGCCAGTACCCTTTCCCCTCCCAAACAATCCGTTTAACATCTTCTTCATCGTTGATAAGCTTTTGGTCGTTGGAAAGCCAGTTCGGGTCTTTGCGTTCAATCAGAGCTGCTTGCTCTTGTTGCTGCTCTCGACGTCACTGCGCAATATACCCAAGGTGTCACCAAAAGGCCGATGTACGTTACGCACAATATGTTATTTTAGCTTCTCTTCTCTTTCGATGGAATCTTCGATGATAAGTAGACAGTGCGCGGAGCCCTGCGCCTGTCCCTGGCAAGTGCGACCCCTTCACCTGTTAACTCTTCTCCTCCACTTGTCTCGCCTTATGCTCTCTTGACTCTACTCGTTTGTCACCGGCACTCAAAATGTTATTGAGAATGCCGTTCTTGGCTCTCTCCGTCTCGATCCTCTTCGTCTCCCTGTTCTCAGCGGCGCTTCTTCTCCACCTGGATCACCTGACGACCATGAATCACGAGGACTCACTGTGGTCGAACCGAGTTTTACAATTAAAATTGATATGTACATTTAACAATACACCTGCCCCACCCATGGTACGCAGCACCTCAGAGTACTATAATCCTGCAAATAAAGCATACCGGTGGTCTTTTTATCCTTTTAAAGCTAGTTTGTATATAGTTATAGAGTTAGAAGTCAAGGGGGTATAAGGTGCACGGTAAGTGAAAGTTTTACCTGTAAAAGTGCCAAATGGGTGACATTCCGGTACAAAGTCGGCTGTGGAGGGGTGGTGGGGTACTGCTGTTACTGTTCGATCTTGTCAACTTTCCTATACTGCAATAACAGTCAACGTACCTGGTACTATTTATAATAACTTTTTGAAACAAGGCAGTAGTGTCCAACAGACGCACAGTACTGAGCGGAAATGTTCCATCAATTTAAAATGATGCTATAAAATTGAAAGTGAAATAAAAAGGGACCAAGCGAAATTTCCGACGGATGTGGCTCGTACTGCTTTTTAACTTAACTTTGAGTAAAGTACTAGGTACTACAAGGTCGCGCCGGGCCGGCGGCCGCCGGGAATCGAGTCCGGGTGTATCGTTACTAGACTGAGTCACTGAGTCCATGCCTATGATTGGCCGGGCCAGGAGGTCCGGGCGGCGCTGATGTCTCTTGAGTTTCACCGGACACTGGAACGCTGCCCTGATATCATCCATGGCATGTAGAGCCATGCCCGGAGGATGAGGCTGTTGTCTGTAGCAACAAGCAATCTTAGCTTCAGTCTCTCTCCTCCCATCGTTGTCAGTTAGCAGTTTAGCAGGACATTCCACAGGTGAAGAGTTGATCCTTTCAAAGTTGATTTATCGCTTTCCATCAAGCAAAAAAACGTCCTGCTTCCTCTAAAGCACAGCAAGCCAGGAACAGAGTTTTGTCCACTCTTTTGCATGTGCGACTGATGTTCACTGTGAAAAACGAATTTGCATCAGGAGAGGGCAATCCTTGGTTCGCTTGCAGAAAGGGCTCTGCATGCCGAACTGTCACAGGCAGATGTCCGAGGCTCACGCGATCGCTTTTAGTTCACCTTCTTCTCGTAATGCTCGCTTGCAGTGTTGCGACAGCACAGAACTATCCTTCGACTGCAAACAGCATGCTCATTCTCTTCAGGTACTGGGACTCGCAGCAGCAGAAGGCTTCTGTGTCGACTGTCGCAGGGAACGGAGATCTTTCGAATCAGAACGGCAACGGAGCGTCTGCTAGCTTCAACTTCCCCTCGGACGTAGCCCTGTCCCCCGATGAATCATTCCTCGTCGTCGCTGACTCTCGCAACCATGTCATCCGGCGCATCAACAAGGGGGCACAAGGCTGGTCCTCCAACGATGTCACCGTGACTACCATTGCTGGGAACGGTCAGCCAGGACTGGCAGATGGGAGCGCCACGACGGCTCAGTTTCAGAAACCTTTGGGTGTGGATATCTCGCCTGACGGGACGTGGGTGGCTGTGGCGGACAGCGCGAACAACAGGATAAGAAAGGTCACCTTGGCGACTGGCAACGTGGAGACCATAGCAGGTTTCACTCAAGGTTACCAGGATGGCGTTGGGACCCTGTCAAAGTTCTGGTTGCCAGCCTCTGTCTCGTTTCATCCCCAAGGAACGGGGCTGGCGGTAGCTGATACGAACAACAACAGGATCCGATGGATCAGCCTGCCCAGCTACTCCGTGACCACCAAGTCTGGTCCCACAGTGGCGAAGAGTGTCTGCAGTTTAGGTTTCTACCAACCCAAAGGCGCATGCACGCAGACAGGACAGGTGTGCTCCTGTTCCCTCGTTGTGTCTTCATCCAGCAACTGTCAGACGGTGCAGTACAACACGACCATCTGCCCTCGAGGCTCCCCCACCCCGAGCTGCTCAGGCACTGGGGTGACCTGCACCTGCTTGGCGCCCAACACGGGCGCCCTCTGCCAGACCGATGCTGACTGCACGAATGAAGGAAGGTGCCTGGGGATCGCAGGCTACGCCAACGGACTGGGCAAGACAGCGGCATACAACAGCCCCCAGTACGTGAGGGTGTCACCCGATGGCGTGTGGATCTACATAGCCGACGGGCAGAACAACGTGATCCGCCGCGCGAGGGTGGACAACGGGGACGTGGACTTGTACGGAGGGCTGCCGTCAGTGGCCGGAGCGACAGATGGAGTGAACAGCACGGACAACACGATATACTCGGCCAAGCTCGGCATTCCAGTGGGCATCGCGATCCCTTCCTCCAACGACTGGGTCTACGTGGCTGACTCCCAGTGGGATCGCGTGCGGAGGGTGGGACCGACGCCGTTTCCCAATATCGCCAGCATCACAGGAGTGCTGGCGTGCAAAGGCGGCAAGTACATCGTCAACGGCATCTGCTATACCTCCAGCCCTTGCTTGTGCAACGCAAGTCAGCCAGACGCTGCCAAGGCTCCTTACTGTGCCGATGGCTCCAGCCCCAAATTCGTGCAACCAGACTCGGCGCCATGCTCGTGCACAGCTCCCAACACCAACCGGTTGTGCTTCGACACGAGCGTGTGTACCGGGAGCGGGGCGTGTGAGTCGCAAGGTACCGGCTACAAGGATGGGGCAGCAGAGAGCGCACAGTTCAACCAGATGTCGGGGATGGCCATGACCGGGAAGGGGGACCTTCTCTTCATAGCAGACTATCAGAACCATCGGATCCGCCTCGTCAACTGCGGAGGCAGCTGTTCGAGCACCACCATCGTTCTCAACAACTCGATCCTCATCACTGGGCCCCAGGGAGGAGGTGAGAGAGAAGAGTGCCAATGCTGAATGATGCCTGACCTTGTGAACAGCAAACGAAAGAAGATCGCCGCCAGCTACACTGTTAGGGATGATTCTTGTCTCGGTTGAGATGCTCGTCGTTGCAAGGTTCTTTGATGTTCGCTAGCAGCAACAACTAGTCTCTGTCTCAACTTCTCCTCTTACCCCTTGCACTGAACCAGAGCCTCTTCTGTTGACTTCAAGCAGTCCTCATGGAACTGCATCTGTGCCTGCAGTGCAGTTGAGAATGAGGAGGACTAGAGTTCCGCATGTACCTGCAGGAACGTCTGCACAGCCGACTGCAGCAGCGGCTTCTTCTGCTCAACGTTCATGAACAGCCGCATCAGCTCATCCCGATGCTGTTGCAGCTGCTCTTTGCCTTGCTCGATCTGCCGTCCCAATTAGCCTTGTTCTCATCCTCCCCACCTTCTCGCTCACCGTCGTCTTGACGGAAGCAGCCTTGTCCGCGTGCCCCTTGGCCTCTAGGTCTTGGACTTTCTTGATATTCAGACTGACCTGTCAATGGCTCAGCTTCGAATCCTTGTGAGAAGAAATCCTTACCTCTCGTCTGTTGTCCTTGTACCTCGTACGGGCTGCCATGGCCTGAACGGAATTTGAGAGACGCCCTGGCTCGCACGAGCTACCTCTGCAAGCTCCTCCTTGATGAAAGTGTCCAGAGCCAGTACAAGTTTTGAGGCCTGAAAGTATGAAGTCACTTCACAGCCTCATACTGTCGAACAGTCGAAAGTCTCATAGCATTGGCAGACATCGTACAGACGAGTTCTCAACACAACGATCACGGTCATACAGGCGAATCATAGCTCTTGTAATCGTAATCGTCCTGCGCTCGTTCCAAGACGTCTGCTGCCTCCTGAATCATAAGTCATCATATGAGGAATAACGTGGCAGGATGTCAAAACCTTGATATACTGCAAATCTCTTGCACGCTCAGAGCAAGTGACAAGGTTCCTACTGTAGCTGCAGAGCACACGACCAACCTGCCAGTTGTCTTAGAAGCGAGCAGACAATCTCGATGTCAAATAGCTCAAATACCTCCATTGCCTCAAGGTCAGACCCGATCACCTCGACTTTGTTTGCAACTCTCAGCTGCGAAGGGGAAGTGAGAGAAGGAGAGATCAACAGTTCCTTTGAGGAGGAGGAGAGAGCAACAGGCCTCTCACTTGTTTCGAAACGACATGCACTTGAGCGGAGAAAGCCTCTCTGAGAACAGCCAGTAGCTCCTTGTAAGCAGCTTCAGTCTGCTTCAGGTTTGCCATGGCGTTTTCGATCTCTGGGAGCTCCTCGACTAGAGTGAACCCGCTTCCCTCTGCTCTCTCCATCACTTTCTGTGTCAATCGCTTCGCTGCTCCCTTGACGTCAACCTGAAGGAAGAGAATCAGGAGGGAGAGCGGACGGTTCATTTTCGTACCTCCGACATCTTGTGAACTACCTGCGTTCCTCCCTTCATGGCATCTCTTGCCAGCACCTGCTACACGTCATCCGCTCGCCTTCATGGTTCTGTCTCTTGCACCTTCGCTCCTGCGGCTGCTCGCTTCCACATGCCCTCCAGCCCGCCATCCCCGAATCCAAGCGGCATCTGCATCATTGTCAGGCAATATTTGAGAAAGCTTCCTATCATGTCATTGTATCCTCACAATTGAATGCTCTCCTCTCCTCTCCTCTCCTCTCCTCTCCTCTCCTCTCCTCTCCTCTCCTCTCCTCTCCTCTCCTCTCCTCTCCTCTCCTCTCCTCTCCTCTCCTCTCCTCTCCTCCGTCTCCTCTTCCACAACCCTCAGCCTACATTGCCAGCGCTGAGGTCGAAACTGAGGCGGACTGGGTAGCGGGGGAAATGCCGGGGTTGACCAACCTGGGCAACACATGCTTCCTGGCGGCGGCCATGCAGGCGATCGCTGCCTCGCCGTCCTCCTCCTCCTCCACGTTCTTCGAGCTCTCCTCCATCCCTCATGGCTCTTTCGCTCGCACAGCAGCAGATCTCCTCCTCAAGCTCTGTCAGGGAGGGGAAGGCCTGCCCATCAACCCCCGGGCCCTCGTCACGCAAGTGCGGAGCATCCATCGCTCCTTAGGAATCCAGTGAGTGGGAGAGATGCTGGGAGGAGGAAGAAGAGGGAGGAAGTGGAAGAGAGAGGACTCCTGACGTGTTCAATTCAGACAGCAGGATGCAGAGGAGGCGTTTCTGATCCTTGTAGCCGCACTCTTCACCAAGGACAAGAGGTACAGGGCGCAGCTCTTCGGTAAATCTGTGCTCTCGTGTCTGCCGAGGACTCCGGTTGCCCTGCTCACCGCGTCTCAGGAGGGGCTCAAACCAAGGCTTCCTATGAGCAGGCGTCCAACGGGCTAGCGGCCTTGTTCGACCTCGAGCACCAGGTCTCTCATGGTCCCAGCACGCTCAATCATCACTCTGATCCCTGCAGGTCAACTCAACAGCTTCTCACCGATCGCTCAGCATCCCCCCCTCCTGCTCCGATCCTGTCTTCCGACCAGCTGCGCTTCCTTTCCTCTGGCTCCTGCTCGAGCGTGTCAATTCAGAGGGCTCTGGAGGGAGATCGGTGAAATCGACGTCATCGGGAGGAGAAGAACATGTCCTGAGGGACTGCCATGGCGCTCAGCCCTCTAGCGTGAGATTCCGTGGGAGCGGGGTCTGGTTAAAGGGACACTCCAAGTACGGGGAGAGGAGCTCGGATCTTATGCTGTTCGATGATTTCAAGGATGAGTTTCACACCAACCCCTTCATGGGCCTGATGTGTTCGTGTATTCAGTGCGAGGCATGCAACCTGAGGAAGGTGAGTGTTGAGAATATCTCATGTCAGATCCTCATGTCCTGGTCAAGGAGTACAAGATCGACACCTTCTACGATGTCTCGCTGACGATCCCGCAAACCTCTCTGTTGGAATCTCCGGTCACCATTGAGTCCTGCCTGATGAAGTGGGCAGAGAGAGAGTTTGTAGAAGGAGCAAGATGCGACAGGTTGTTTCTGCATTCTCATAGTCAAATTGATCGAAGCGATTGCTCAGATGTCTTCACACAGAGGCTTTGAGAATCGTGAAGAGGAGGTAAAACCTGATCTCTTTCCCCAAGTGAAGGATTTGTGTAGTTTATGTGAAATCTTTTTATGTCAAGTCTTGACAATTTTTCCTGATTCTATGTTCCTCAACTTGTTTGCTACTCCAGGAAATCGGATCTAGCAAACATTATCAGCACCCTTCCTGCGGATAGGCGAGAAGCTCTACTGAGGTGGAGAGGATGAGGGGAGGAGAATACACCGACTGAGGAGAGTGGAACAGATCGATAGATGCTGAGGTGGAAATTCTGACTGCAGCCGCCCCTGCTCCGGGCTGTGTCAACTTCACTATGGGCGATGGGATTCGAAGCAGGTGGGAGAAAGCTGGTGGGTCGAGCACTACGACTGAACCTCTTGAAGGTGCTCTAGAGCAGTAGGAGAGGTCAACACGGCGAGAATCTTCAAGCAGATGAAGTTTATCAGGACTCCTCGGGTGCTGTGCTGTCATCTCCGTCGAGTCCTCCCGACCCTCCATGGCTTCCGAAAGGATCGCACGAAGGCATGCGGAAGAGAGTGCACAGGAGAGGACTCTGAGTGCGCAGCAGGTTCGATTCAGGACTTCCATCGACTTGTCCGACTTCATGGAGACTTTTGTGGAGGGAGGAAGCTCACGGGCCAGAACATACCAGCTGATAGCAGTCGTTGAGCACCTTGGAGATGCTTACGGTGGACATTATGTTTGCTACGTCAGGTACCCAGAGGGTTCAGCATGCAGTGTAGTCACCCGACATTCGTATACGTGCAGGCGATCGGGAGGTGGAGGAGGAAAGGAGGACTCTGTTTGGTTCCTTATGAACGATGAACATGTCACTCGGGTGAGTTGTTCACTTCCCATATCTCATCTCGTCTGCTGAGTGTTTCTGTTGGTCTCAGGTACCTGTTGAGCGCGTGCTCTCCTGCGAGCCATACATGTTGCTGTATGAAACATTCGAATGATCTCCATGCGCCTCCTCCCTCTCCTTCTCTCCCTCCTTCACTCTCTCTGCCTCCCTCCCATTTTCCCTCGTCGCTCCGACAAACCTTGGACCAACGTGGGGTGCTAGTACCCTACGATGTACCCCACCCTATCTGATTCCATGTGTTGATAGTACAAGGTACCCCTCCTTGATAAAAATTTACTACCCCCACCCCCCTTTCCTCCGGTAGGGAGGCCGTCACGTCACCGAAAGGCGAAAGATGAGGCATAGCGTACTGATCCTATCCCCCTCCGTCCTCCTCCTCCTCCTCGACGTCCTCCCGTCCTCCCACGCCTTCCTCCCATCCTCCCTCTCAGGCTCAGCGCTCTTTGCTCCTTCGCGCCTCTCCTCCTCTTGCTCGACCGCCGGAGCTCGCAAGTCATGGAGCTCAAGCCGAAACCTCGCCCTCCGCATGGAGTCACCTGTGGAGGAGGCAAAGGCATGGACAGCGGCAGGGATGAGCGTCGAAGAGTTCTTTGAGCGATCGGTTGGCAGCTGGAGGTCCTTGAGGAGCAGCCACAACATCGCGTTTGCTCAGCTCGAGGAGGTCAATTCTGACATCGATATCACACAAGTGGCTGCGGATGACAGCGAGTTTCTTGACATCTGCAAGACGTACAACTTCGAGCCTGAGAAAGCTTGCAGCTCAATCAGAATGTCGTGGGAAGGATCTTCTGACTGGGATGAGAACGAGGTCATCAAAGGCAGCACTGTACGACAGTTCAGATGTTGATTTGAACTTGTTGTGATAGTTGTTTCAGGTGCTGGTTCTGTACAAGGACGAGGAGAGGAAGGGAAAGCTTCTTCGCTCGGTTGGATACACGGAAACTATCCCTGCTGTTGGCGAATGGACTATGCAGGTAGGGAGGAGGAGTGTCAGGTGTCGAGATGTTTCTGGCTTTCTTGTGATATATCTCACTGTTGTGTTTCTTCATCTAATGTTGCCTTCATCGTATCTTTCTCCTTGGATCTCAACTTGTATCTTGCTCCTTGTATCTGAACATGCATCTTGTCTTCGTTTCTGCCGTGTCTCCAGTCTCCATCGTTCTGGCCTGTTCCTGCCAATCTCTTGCAAGCGCTTGCATTGTTGTGTTGAGAGCGATCTCTTCTTCAGGAGGATGGCACCTTCGTCCTCCACACCTTCTACGACCGGTGAGCGACTTGGCCGGGAGAGAGGAGCAGCTGAAGTCAGTCTTCATGCAGCGCTGCAGCCGAGGAGCGGATCTGGTTCGCCACTCCTGATCTCAGGATGCGCTGCTCCATCATCAAGACTCAGCATGGTGAGAGGGAGGAGTAGGAGGCAGCTGCTGTGTACTGACTGGGAGGATGCAGGGAAGGGAGTTCTTACCGCCTCTCTGTCCACTGAGGTGAGGGGGGGGAGGAGGGTGTGCGTGCGCGGATGACGTGATGACTCTAGGTGCGGGACAAGAGCAAGTGAGGAGACGAGCGGTGCTTGCTCTCTGTGTGATGAATCTTTTTATGTAAAAACATCTTACCATGGCGACAATGTGTCTATTTCTCTTTCGCTCTTTCTATTCACTCCTTCCTTCTTCCTCCCACCAATCTCCCACACCTCATCTCCTCCTCCTCCATCTCTCCCTCCTTGCTCTTCCCTTGACATAATCTCCCTGCTATCATCAACTACCCCTCCCCTCCCCTCCTCTCCTCCCCTCTCCCCTCTCCCCCTCTCCCCTCTCCCCCTCTCCCCTCTCCTCTCCTCTCCTGCAGCCCCGGCGTCTGGCACTGATGAATCAAATTGCAACCCACTCCCCCTATCAACCCCAGATAAATCCCCTGACAAATCCCCTCCCCCCTCCCCCCCCCGCTCCTCCGGCCCACGAAGACTTGCTCCTCCTTCACTGCTTCCATCCTCCCATCCTTCCCCTCCTCATCCTCTCCCCTAGCCACTCCCTGTCATCCCCCCTCCCCTCGTCCACCCTCCTCCATTGATTGTTTCACTCCGCTGCCACCACCATGACTTCACTGTCAGCTTGCTCCTGCTTCCTGTTTATCTTCATTCCCGCCTCCTCCTCTCTCCACTTGCAAGCTACTTCCTTGCAGCTCTCGTTGCGAGGAGGAGGGGCAGAACTTTCCCCGTTGCGAGGAGGAGGGGCAGAATATCCGCCCGAAGTCGCCGAGGCATTCGAGGAGATGAGAAGAAGGATGGGGTACGAGGAGATGGAACAGGAGCAGAAGGACCTCTTCGACAAACTGTTTGCACAGGCATACACAGCACAGCAGGACATGCAGACCAAGGACGTGAGGCCGAAGCTCGAGTGAGTTGTGGAGGAGGAGGAAGCGTTTCCTGACCTCGATGGTAGGAAGGGAGTGGACAAGTTCATGAAGAAAGCGGACATGATATGTCAGGTGATAGCATGTGAAGCAGCGCTAGGAGGGAACCATTCCTCAGCTTAGTAGCAGAACCCCAACATCACCAACTATCTGAATCAAATGATCTATACTCTAGACCCCGACGGTAATGTAACTTCTCCTTCGCCTCTCCCTTCCCTTCTCCTCTTTCTGCTCCTCTCCCTTCTCCTCTCCCTGCTCCTCTCTCTGCTCCTCTTCGCTTCTCTGCTGACCTGATCCAGAGATGGACCCGGAGGACCGCGAAGATTTCCTGGAAGAGATGGGCGAGATGCATGTGATCTACGCTGCACGTGAGCATGCTCGACCTCTGCTCCCCTCTGCTCACGGCAGGACAGGACAGGGGTTCGCCGACATGCTTGCGAAGCTGGTGAGGTATGAGCCGGCGCTTGCCAACTCATCTGTCCCCTCCTCGGTAAGACGTTCTTGACTTCGCCCTCCCCTCCCTCCTTCTTTGTTGATTCGCAGCAGAAACTTTCTGCGCTTCACTGGACGGCCATCAAATCAGCTTCGACCGTTGGAGATCCTGGTGACAACAAGTATGCAGGATTCGGTAGGGCCCTCCAGCTCTTGTTGAGCACCTCTCCCCTCCTCCTCCTCCTTTTGTTGGTCCTCTCCTCCTCCTCCTTTTGTTGGTCCTCTCCTCCTCCTCCTTTTGTTGGTCCTCTCCTCTCCTCCTCCTACTTCGTTCTTACCTTTGATCTTCCTGCTTTCGTTCTTACCTTTGATCTTCCTGCTTTGAATCGCACTCCTTCTCCTCCTGCATTCACTGCTGCTGGACGCTGGCGCTCATATCGACATCCAGGACGCCAGAGGGCGCACTCCGATCTCCCATGCTGCCGACGAAGGAAATGTGGTGAGCGGAGTAGATGAGGAGGACGAAGAGGAGAGGGAGGAGAGGAGCAGAGGCGAGGGATATACAGGAAGAAGGGAGAGACAGGCAGGAGAGGAGAGGAGGAGAGGAGAGGAGAGGAGAGGAGAGGAGAGGAGAGGAGAGGAGAGGAGGAGAGGAGAGGAGAGGAGAGAAGGCGCGACGAGACGAGACGGTGCTGCTTTTGCTCTCCCTGATATTCTTTGCAGGACGTTTGCATGCTTCTCATGCAGCGAGGCGCGAATATCAACCTTCCTGATGCCTGCGGCCGAACACCCCTGTACTCCTCCTCCTCCTCCTGCTCCTGCTCCTGCTCCTGCTCCTGCTCCTGCTCCTGCTCCTGCTCCTGCTCCTGCTCCTGCTCCTGCTCCTGCTCCTGCTCCTGCTCCTGCTCCTGCTCCTGCTCCTGCTCCTGCTCCTGCTCCTGCTCCACCACCACCACCACCACCACCACCACCACATCTCCTTCATAAGAGTGAGTCCTGACAGGCACTGGGCGGCCTCAACCGGCCAGGAGGCGATAGTGAAGATTTTGAAAGAGGGAGGAGCCGATTTACGCGTAAAGACGAAAGTTTCAGAGGCAGGCCAATGGGAGATTACAGCGGTAACTCCTTCTTGCTGCTTCTTCCTCTCCTTCCTATTACATCTTTACCCTCTCCCTCCCTCCCCTGCTTGTCCTGCTCCCTGCTCCCTCTTTTTCTTTCTGCTCCCGCTTCTGCTGCTGCTGCTGCTGCTTCTGCTCCTGCTTCTGCTGCTCTCCCTCCCTATGCAGGTCGTTCTCTCATTCTCATGCAGGTGGAAACAGCGGCGATGATGGGGCAGCATCATCTGCTCCCACTGCTGTGCATGACGCGCGAAGGAGAAGTGGACACGAGCCTCCTTGACTTTCTCGACACGGAAAGATGGTACTCGAGGGTCGAGCAGCGAAACAAGGCGTTGAAGGAGCTCGGCATATCTGATTTTGATCTCTTTTTGAAGAAGAAATGAAGGGAAGAGAGGAGGACAGGAAAGGAGAGCGGGGATGAGGAGAGAAGACGGGGAAGAAGGGGAAAGGGAGGAAGGGAATAGGGGAAAGGAGGAAACCAGGGAGGAGAGAGGGAAGCTGGAGGGGGATGGGAGAGTAGAAGAGAGCGGGAGGAGGAGGGAGGAAGCAGGAGGACAGGAGAGGAGGAGATATGGGACGCCGTCACTTGTTGGAAGTTATTTGAGGAGATATACGAGTGATAGCTGCTGTGTCCGACCTGCCTTGGGGATGAGTGAAGTGACAGTAGCGGAAAGCAGGGGCAGGGGCAGGGGCAGGGGCAGGAGGAACAAAGAGTGAAGAGAAGAAGGGACAAGCAACAACCTCAGTTGCGCCTCAAACTCGGCAAGTTTGTAAGCGAAGGAAGGATTTTTCTTCTTCTCCTGCTCCTCTATCAGCCAGTACCTTACATGATGGAGACTTACCTCCTTCGCAAGAATCTCTTCTACCGACAACTCTCTTCCCTGTAACAGGCTGTTCTTCTTGACCTGCACCAGTCCTTCACCCTCTTTCCTCCTCCTCCTCCTCCTCCTCCTCCTCCTCCTGCCCTCACCTTCTTGTACCCCTCCACTGTCTTGGGCGGAAGTCTTTCCTCCTGCTGCGTCACCCAGAACTCGAGGAAAGAGCGGTCTACGTCCTCGGGTATCCCCGCGTCCTGAGGAGGCTGCGCGACATGCGCCTTGAGCGGTTGACTCAGTTTCTCGCGCTGCACGTCAACGACGCGGATGAAGACGGAGGCGTTGGGGAGGAGGGAAAGTTTCCGCTTCCTCTCCTCTTCCCGCACAGCTGCCTCCACTCCCAGCCTGAAGATCGTCTCCGGGAGCGAGCGGGGAACAGAACCCGAGTAGAGGGGGACTTGGAAGTTGCCGTCGATAATGTAGTGACGTTTGTCGCGGAGGAAGAGGGGAAGCACAGTCCAGCCGATCTCCTTCTGCCTCACCTGCAACCTCCCTCCCTCCTCTGACGGGATCCTGGAGATCCCCAGCAGCTGCACCACCAGCCCGCACCTGTAGCCGCGGAACTCGACGCCAGAGAGGAGCGAGTAGCTCTCGGTCCAGCGGGGGCACCTCAGGGAGGAGAGGGGGTTGAGGGAGGACTGGAACTGCGCGTGCTCGGGGTAGCGATCGCTGCTGAAGTAGTGGCAGGGAGGAACAGCACCGAAGATTGCAATGGGGAAGAAACCCTTGCTGGTGGGGAGGTTGTTGGCTCCGTCGATGCAGACGCGGAAGCCAGCAGCAGGGTTGTAGAGGCAGAAGTAGGTCAGATCGAAGAAGAGGCTGCGCTCCTTGTTCTTGAAGAGAGCGAGGACTGTTTGCTTCAGCTCCTCGTCTTGTTGCTGCTCAGCTAGTGAGGTAGGACTCTCTGCTCCTCTTGGGGAGGAAGAAACGATGAGAGGAGAGGATGGCAGGAGGAGTGGGAGAGGCAGTGAGGAGGAGAGAAGGATAGAGTCATGGTGAGAGAGCAGGAGACGGAGAAAGAGGGAGGGAGGGAGGGAGAGGAGGAGGGGGAGAGAGGTGAGGTGGAGAAGCTTACTTTGCGGATGTCCTCATATTCAGTTGCTGACATTCTTGCCAGAGCGTCTCTAACAAACAAGATCGTCAGGTAATATGGACCCGAAATGGGGAAGAAGGGAGCAGGGAGCAGGAGCAGGGCTGGACGAACAGGGTAGATGCAGAAACATGCAGCCGACATGCGGGATGAACGAAGAGGAAGAAGGAAGTCGAAAATGAGACACTTTTGAGAGGGTGCTTGCTGGGAAAAAGAGCGAGCAGATTGGAGAGAGGGAAAAGTAGATAGGAAAGGAGGAGGAGGAGATTGCGGATAATGATGTTGCTGCTGCTGCTGCTGCTGCTGCTGCTGTCGTTGCTGTTGTTGTTGTTGTTGTTGTTGATATTGTTGTTGTTGTTGTTGTTGTTGTTGTTGTTGTTGTTGTTGTTGTTGTTGTTGTTGTTGTTGTTGTTGATGATGATGATGATGATGATGATGATGATGATAGACATGATGATGATGATAATGAACAGGGAGCATGGCAAGATCAATGAAAGAAGAGGAGGGGATCAGCATGGTACAAGACAAGAAACCTCATGCTGATGTCTCGTTGGAGCGTCTCGACGCGCTGCTGGAACAGAACCTTCTCATAGCCCGACGGCACCACCCCGTCAGAGTCGTATGCTCCGCTGGCGTACTTGGGTTTGCACCGTGCCAGCCTCCTCAAGAAATTCTCATCCTTCTCTTTTGCCTGCTGAGGGCTCCCTGCCGTCTTCTTCTCCTGCTCCGTCCTGATGATCTCTTTCAGGTACCCGTCCTTGCCGGACAGTCGCAGCTGCCAAGAACATGAGCGGAGGGACAGGAGGGGAGTGAGACGATGAAGACGAGGTGGAGGTTGAGAAGGAGGGGAGGAGCAAGAGGAGGAGCAAGAGGAGGAGCAGCAGGAACAGGAGGTCGAGACAAGGACAGGATGAGGAAGCAGAGGGGGAGGATTTTAGAGTGGAAGAGAGAGCTGGTGAGGAGGGAGGAGGGAGGAGGGAGGAGGGAGGAGGGAGGAGGAGTATCCACCACTTCTTTATAGTCTTGTTCATCAGGATTGACGTAGATCCGAAGCAAGACTGCACAAGTGGCTCACAAACTCTCAGGGGACGCGAACAGGTCGATCAACCTGTGCAGCAGGGGATCCTTGGGAGTTTTCCGACGTCGGCAGGTGTCGCTGCAAACGTTCTGTCCTTCTTGCCCAGACTGCGCAAGGGAATTTGAATTCCTCCGACCTTGACTGTCCGCCGCAGATCCACTACCACAGCATGTCAGTGCGAGGAAATGAGAAAGAGAAGGGAAGAAAGGGAAGGGAGGAAGGGAGAAAGAGAATGTAGGGATCAGGGAAAAGGAGGAGAAGGAGAAGGAGGAGGAGGAGGAGGAGGAGGAGGAGGAGGAGGAAGCAAAGGGTGTTCGAGCTTTAACTAAAGTTGGCAGAGGAGAAGCAAGCAAAATTATAACGAGAGCGAGAGAGGAGGAGAGGAGGAGAGGAGGAGGAGGAGAGTTCACCGGGATTGAAATCCAAGAAGATCCGATGGATAGAAAACCCAAGAGTAGCCCAGCTCTTGGTGAACATGTCGAAACAGTCGAGCCGCACTTGCACCCAGCAGTTCTTGTCGGCCGCAAACACGGGGAAGACGGTGAAAAGGTCGAAAGTGGGCGAATGGGTGCCGCTGCTGGGGTCGGCTACTGCCGTGTGCCTGACGTTGATCCTACTTGCATCGTTCCCTTCCTCGTTTACGATCGTCAGAGTTGCCTGCACATCAGTCAGCTCAGCCTCAGCCGCTGCCCATGGCAGCTCAGAAACGGGGGAGGGGAGTACCTTTGAGACAGCAACGTTGTCGGGCAGAAATCTGACGGCATCGAGCACCACAAGAACGTTGTCCTGGGGTCCCGCTCGAACCTTGTCGCCCTCCTCCTCTGTTGGTCTCTTCCCCCAAGGGCACCAGGCTAATTGGGGTATGTCTGCAAGGGAGGGATCCACTTCTACCTTTTGCTGCTGCTCCTCCTCCTTCCAGATCGACTTGTTCTGCTCGCTCTGCTTGACGGGGGAGATCTCCTCCTCCTCCTCCTCGACTTCGTATGAAGATCTGATGAAGAGAGGAGTGCGCTCATGGAAGCAGGGGGGGAGGGAGAAGTTGGTGAACTTTTCCTGGCCTTCTAGCATCTCCTCCTCCTCGTCCTCCTCCTCCTCTCCCTCGGAAGGCTCATCCTGAGGATCAGAGTCGTTGGGTTCCAGCTTGAGGTAGATGTAGTGATACTCGTCATCGTCTACCAGCCTCTTGGCCTCGTTCAGCCTCTCAGGAGTCAAGTTGAGGAGGAGGGGAGGCTCGAGGATCGGGATCCTCCACGAGCCTCCAAGGAACTCTCGCTCGGGGGAGAAGAGCGGCATCGCTGCCCATCCGATGGCAGAGGAAGAGACTTCGTCATGAAGAGTCTGCAGCTCCAGCACCAGCATGACGTTTGAGGGAGGAAGCTTCACAAAGGTCTCTGACATGTTGATCAGAGCCTTGCGAGTTGTCTTGTTCCTCAGATTCAGCTGGAAGTCATACACCACCTCCACCTTGGGCAAAGTCTGCAGCTGCATGATCGCGTTGCCGGACTCAAAGAGCCCGAGCACGACTTGGATGTTGTCAACGGAAGGAGCCGGGTGAATCTCGCAGAAGCGGAGGGTGAAGCCGAAGAAAGGGTCGTACGCTCCTCCCTTGGCAAGGCTCCTCAAGTTGCTCACTTCCCACATCTGAGAAGAATCTCATCCCTCGACCCTCCTCTGCTTCCTCCATTCACTTTTATCTCCATTACTCCCCGCCCCGTTTTCCTCCTCCCCCATCCTCGCCTCTCCTCTCTACTTCCCTCTCCTCTTTTCTCCTCTTTTCTTCTCTTCTCTTCTCTTCTCTTCTCTTCTCTTCTCTTCTCTTCTCTTCTCTGCTCTGCTCTGCTCTGCTCTGCTCTGCTCTGCTTCTTTGCTCTGCTCTGCTCTGCTCTGCTTCTTTGCTCTGCTCTGCTCTGCTCGTCTCTCCTCTTCCTCACACCTTCATTCGCTGAGCCCGAAGCCATTCGGCCCTCGCTCGCTCTTGTCGTTGAGCTTCAAGTTCATTCTGTATCTCCATGAGTTGCTTCATATGCGCCAATCGCTCAGATTCTTGTTTCAATTTCATCATCTTCAGCCCTGTGTCAAACAGCCGTCAATGTTTCCAAGATATGATGATGATGATCCTATTCATCATCATCATCATCATCATCATCATCATCATCATATTTATCATATTCATCTCATCAACGAAAAAGAATCCTCTATCCTCTTCATAAATTGCAGGCACGGGCATATTCAAACACATTCTTCACGGCGTCAATTTCCTACCGTGTTCTCGAGCCATCGAAACAAGTTCGTTTGGCCCAGTCTCAAGTTGCGATTCATCTTCATCTTGGTCAAATGATGGACTGAAAATGAAGCCACATTTCAGATTTCATCAAATCTCGTGTCAAAATCGACTCATCACATCAAACGTGGAGGATCTTCCTCCTCCTCCGCCTCCTCTTCGTTCTTCTCCTCTCGTATTTCTTCCAACACTGAAGCGCAAACCATGAGCAATGCACAGCAAGAATGAGCGATAAAGACGACCTGGCTCCAGTTGTGCTTCATGGTATGTTTCAGAGATCTGAGGAGCAACTTGAATCTGCGGATCTTGTTCGGGCAACGATTCCGTGTTCATCATCATCTTCAGGTTTTCAATCTTCTGCAACGTTTGCAGTTCCAACTCCAGATGGTCAATTCCCATGGCTTCATCCATGAAACTATCATTTTGCTGCCCTGATCTTGCATAAAACTCTTTCTCTCCTCCTCCTCCTCCTCCTTCAGCTTGAACTGCTCCAAACAGCCTGTCCTCTTCAAGTTTGGTTGGAGAAAACATGTCTTCATCAGATCTTGATTTGCTCTTGGACCTGCTTCAGCGAGTGAGAAGGAAGAAGCTTCGGAAGATTCTCAAGTCTACTCGTCCACTTGCATCGTGGCGGGAGAAGCTTGCTGTGAAGTCAACCGCCGTTGCTGTTGCTCATGGAGACGGAGGAGCTGCCGGGCTCGGAGCTGATTGGCTTTCTCTCGGAGATGCTCTTCCTTCTTCCTCCAGTACCTTCTTTCCATCAAAACAACATACAGAAACTCCTCCTCGCTCCATCTCTCTCCCTCGACTCCTTCCTACTTCTCTCTCTGTCTTCGTCATTCTGCCTCTCACCTCCTGTCTTCGGACTTGTGAGAGTCGAAAGCGTTTTTCTCAGCGATCTCGATGTCCTGCGACGACAGCCAGTCAGCAACACACCTTCCCACATGTGTTTGAACAAGAGAGCTGTCTCACTCTCTCTGTCGCTTGTATGAGCTTCATACCGCAAATGGTTGTGTAAACAAATCTCAAAGTCAGAAGCGCACTGTGGATGAAACACAAACAACCTGATCATCATCATCGCCATCAGCGTTGGAAACATCTGCCTGAGATAGCTGCAGAGCCGTTACTTTCAGCTGCCACATCATCATGCAAGTACAGGAGGTATCGAGGAAGCTGGTGGAGATATTCTTTCTTGCCTTCTCTCTTTGCTGTGATAGCTGAAACACACACTTGAGCATCTGAATGGATCGAAACCTTCGGATTCACCTTGAAGGTGACGAATTACCTTTCCTCCCCTCTGTCTCCGGAGAGAGAACAAGACGAGTAGCAGATTCTTTGACGTTGATGTCGTCTTCGGGTGTTCTGCCATCTTTCAAGCTCTCAGCGTCGACCTTGCGAAAGTGTCGGGCCCTGTCTTCTTCATCGCTTCTCGACAACACTTCTCTTGCTATGAGGGATGTCAGGGATATCTCTTTCCTTCTTGCTCCCTGCTCCTCATTCGCTCTCTCCGCAGGCTTCGAAGTTCTCAACGCCTTGAACTCCTTGACTCGAGCGATCAAATCTTGCTGCAGAAACATTCAGCTCCTCTTCCACCTCCATTGTCCACCCACTTGATCACTCTGCAATCCCCGGTACTGTACATCCTTCCAGCTCGAGTTCTGCACTGCCTGCACTCGAGTAAATCGGAGGCTCTTCACATGAGCATCAACCTGTCTTAATTTCGCAACCGACAACTTTCCTATCGCCTGCCTCTTCACGTGGTCTCTCAGCGAATCTTTGAGCTCGTCAACAGTCAACTGGAAGGTGTCTGATGAGTCCTTGCAAGCATGTCATGCCAGCACTCACCGACTTCACTCCTGCATGTCCTGACTTCGCCTCGCTGCAAAACTTCTCCTTGTGTCTCTGGAGAAGGGCTTCGCTGTGGAAGCTCAGTCCGCAGCTCTGACATTTGAAGTCTCCAAGGGCATTGTAGGTGCTCCTCTCCGCCCCGAAGTCCGATCTCTTCCAGGTGCTCATATGATCTGCAGAGTCTTATGGTGGAGGAAGATTTCCTCCTCGCTGGTGACGCCTACATGAAGTTTCGAAGATCCGCCATGTCGCTGCCACTTAGAGCGATCGTCTCTATCATCGCTGGTACATTTCTGTACCTCCAGGTCCTCCTGATCATCATTGTCCTGTTGCTGCTGCCGCTGCTGCTGCCACTGCCGCTGCCGCTTCAGCCTCCTCTATATCTTCCTTCGATTCCTGTCCCGCATACGCCATTCAGGCTTGTTTCCCAGAACATCTCGGAAAAAGCAGGAGGGGTGGTCATTTTCCATCGGTCATCGGAGGGGGTATCTTTTAATGTAATTATAGGGGTAATGCCACCACCCCTACCTCCAATTTCATGCAGCTCCCAATCTCCATCAACGGACAACGAATTGCTCAGGCGTGCATGGTTGCGGCGAGGGTGGCAGGGCGAAGGCTGGCGGGAGGCCAATGGAAGGAAGAGGAAGAGAGAAGATGAGAGAGACAGAGAAGAAGTAAGTGAGCAGCTGGCAGAGACAGACAGAGATACAGTCAGAGCACCTTCAAGTCCTCCTCCTCTCGGGATCCGGCCACTGGGTAAGAAGAGTAAAAGTGTTGACCGACGCGCATCTGCTTCCTCGAAATGGCGGACGCAGAGGCAGTAGAGCAGCCCGAGCCTCAGGCTGGAGGCGAGCAAACTAGCGCCACGGAGGAGGGCTCCATCTCAGCGCCAGAAGATACACAGGTATGTGTTGCAGTCCTCCGATGATAATCAGCGTTGAAGAGTTGCTGCAGGTTTCCGCAGAGTCGGATGATGCTAACAAGGACGCAGAACCTCCTTCTCTTCCTCCAGAGACAGGTCAGTAGAGAAACCTTGAGCTTCAGCTTGTCCTGATCGCAATGCAGAGGAGAAAGGGGAAGAGGAGAAGGCAGGGGAGAAGGCGGACGAGGAGAAGGCAGGGGAAGAGAAACAAGAAGGGGCAGCAGACGACACTGAGCAGCAGAATGCAGATGCAGCAGCAGAGGAAATTCCTCCTCCTCTATCTGAAGCTGATGCCGATGCACCTGCGCCAGCTAACGCTGAGGCTGAACAAGCCCCAGGAGATCAGACGGACCAAGTGGGTGCTCCAGAGGAGCAAGAGGATGCGGCAGAAGAGCTGGGGGTCCGAGAGAGTGAGCAGCCTCTCGACCAGGAGGGGGACAGGCAGGCAGCAACGGAGAGCCCGAAGGAGCAAGAGTGGGTTGTAGCACAGGAGGAAGAGGAGGGGAAAGCAGCAGATACCCCGCATGCGGCTTCTCGACTGTCTCCAGGGGAAGAAGGGGCAGGAAGTGGAGCAGGAGGGATGAAAGAAGCATCTGTTTCATCCAAGGGAAGGAGAGACGTGCCAGCGAGGAGGTGAGGAGTTCTGCCGCTACCTCGACTCTGATTCCTTCCCCCGCAGCCGAGCCGCGAGTGAGAAAACCATGACGGACGGATCTGAGATGTTGCGAGGGGCAAGCTCTTCGAGGATGGACAGTGGAGCAGGTGGGCAGAGGAGGAGAAGATTGAAGTAGGGTGACGTCATGCTGCAGGAAGCCGCGTCCCATCGAAGAAATCAGCTACTCCGAATGACGAGGAGCGAGCCTTGAGAACTCAGCTGGAAGAATACAAGTCTCGTTGTCGCATCGTTGAGGACGACAGAGCTGAACTTGAGCGATTGGTGGGGAGGCTTGCTGGTATCAAATCTTGCTGGTGACATGCGCTGCAGGTGAGGGAGCTGCGACTGAAAGCAGATGCTGAAGGACAAGCACGGCAGAAGGCTGAGGCAGGTCAGCAGGTGGAGGGGACGAGGACGGAGGAGGTTAAGATTTCTACAGCAAAGGAATCGGCAGAGGAAGAGTTGAGATACAAAGCGACAGTGAAAGTGCAGGTGAGAGATCGTGTTTGATCTGCCCACTTCTTGTCGTCACTCATTTCAATTCATAACTTTGTCATTCGTACCGTTTCATGTCATTTCGATTCATGCCAATAGCATCATGCTCCAGCAAACTTTAGTAGAGTATCAAACATGATGATACTTTCTTGTGTCTGCAGGCTGAATCAGCAGCACAATCTCAAATCACACAACTAGAGAGCGTGATACAATCGCTCAAACTGCAATTGGGAGAAATTCAAGACCAGGTACGAAAGGGATACAAAAGCTAGTGATCAATGATGGCTGCTGTATAGGAGAACATTGTCACTGAACTCCGAGATCGAGTGGACAAGGCTGAGCGAGAAATCAGCGAGAAAGATTGTGAGATGAAATAGGCTGTTCTTCTCTGAGTTAATCTTCGCTGCAGTACAATTCACACGCGTCCAAGCCGAGATGGAGAGAAGGGTGCAGCAACAGTATCAGCTCCTGATGCGAAACAGGTACTTGTAGCTGTTGTTTCCTGTTCCTACATGTGGTTCGTTTCCCTCGACTCTCTCCCTCCTCACTGTCTGTCAGGTCCTACATGGAGAGTGTTGGAAGACGAAAGATCAATATTTCCTCGAACTTGCAGGTAGTTCGGGTCCAAGTTGTGGCTCGTCGACTGAACAGTCTGCAGAACGCGCTGTCCGACATGCGGAGCAAGCGGAAGGAGCAGGAGGAGATGGGGTCGATGCTGGAGGGGCTGATCAAGAGGATGGACAGCTTCATAGCGGAGGAATCGTCGAGAATGAATGATCTTTCAGACATCAAGAACACTCTATCCACCTTGAGGTAGCTCTGTCCTCTTCCTCTTCCTCTTCCTCTTCCTCTTCCTCTTCCTCTTCCTCTTCCTCTTCCTCTTCCTCTTCCTCTTCCTGACAGCCACGAGCAGGAGGGATGACTTGAATCTCGAGACACTTGAGCAGCTGGAGGTCAAGTTGAGGCAGGAGAAGGACGGTGAGCCAGATATCTCGATCCTCTCTGCATGACACCTGGAGCAGGAGCACAGAACGAGTACTACCAGGAGCGAAGGCTGGAGGACGAGCTCCTCGCCCAGATGCTTCCTCGAGACTCTCGAGACTCGAACGTGCTGGGAGGTGCGTACCCTCCCAGCTATAACCCGAGCATGGCGTACGGCATGCCGGAGGTCTACAAGAACGGGATGAACAAGATGTTGGAGGGGAACAGGGAAGTTAACCGCTACAGTGACAACATGGAGTACATGGGCGCGATGATGCGGAACGAGTTCGGCGGGGGGTTCAATATGCAGCAACCAGACTTCGGAGCTCCTTCCTCCAACGCCATCATGAACGGGATGAACGGGAGGCTGGCGCCCAACGGAGGAGGAGCATGGCCTATGTTCATGCCCCCGTATGCGGGAGGGCCGCTAGGGGATGGCATGGAGTACGGCTACGGAGTTGCCAAGGCTGGGTATCCGGCGTACGGTCAGTATGGGGGGGAGCCAATGGGGAGGGGATTCGACAACGCGGGGGAGGTGGAGATGATCAACGGAGGTTATAGCGACATGGTAGTTCCCCATGCTCGATCCTGTGACGCCTGACTGACTCGTCCTCTCAGATGAACGCTAGACCTCCGAGCGGCAAGCCACTGCAGGAGGAGCGCATGGTGGGGAGGGGGCAGGTGGGGGGCGCGTTCAAGTTTCCTCCTATCGGAGCAGGATCAGAACCGATGCGTCAAGACGCGAAGGGGTGAGGGGAGACGAAGAGTGAGGATACAAGCTGACTGGCTGATGCAGAGGGTCGAAGGAGAGGAAGCTGCGGGTAGGAAAGACAGCGAACGAGGGGAGCGAGAGAGAGAGACTGGGAGGGAAGGACTCGCGGCAGCAGGTAGGGAACTTCTCACATGCTTGGCGGTAGTTGTGACGAAGATGTACACAGGATCTTCGAATGAGGCACGAGAAGAAGAAGGTTCCGAGTAGACAGTGAGAGAAACGTATCTAGATTGTCTTTTAAACGATCTATGAACATTGACTATCAACAAGCACCTGAAACATGAGACAAGATGGTTAGTGATGCTCCTCCAACATGAAACAAGATGGTTAGTGATGCTCCTTCCAACATGAAACAAGATGGTTAGTGATGCTCCTTCCAACATGAAACAAGATGGTTAGTGATGCTCCTTCCAACATGAAACAAGATGGTTAGTGATGCTCCTTCCAACATGAAACAAGATGGTTAGTGATGCTCCTTCCAACATGAAACATGATGGTCAGTGATATGAGACACGACGGTTAGTGGAACTTGGAAGGAAGAAGTTGTCAAAGATGAAGAGAGAGAGAGAGAGCGGCAACCTGTCTTGGTGCAGAGAGACTAAAGCGAGTGTTTCATAGAGGAATACACGCCCCCCTCGTTTGAAAACAATGGGACAGCAATAATCTCATAGGTTGAAAATTTGGTCGTATTATTTGACCTGTTAGGCAGCAATTTGTCAACCGCCCCCGTCGTGCCCAGGACGGGACAATGCCGGCTTGGAGCGCTAGTTGCGGGGAGGAGGAGGAGGAGGAGGAGGAGGAGATCAGAGGGCGTTAGGCGCTGCTCTACAACATGACAGAGAGGACAGAGAAGCAACTGCGAGAGCTCAACCTCAACCGGCTCTCTCCGATGGGTGAGCAGAGGAATTTCATCGGAGAATGGTTTCGAGATCGAATGGCGCTGAAGCAGCGGCAGATGGCCATGTCCAAGCGGCCCAACACTGCACTCTTCTTGACCCTGCCCGGAAAGCTGCATGACACATTCTTCCCTTCCTCCGTTGGCCGGGTCCATGGCGTCAGGTCACGAGACTCCCTCGATGAAGTTCGGCATGAGCGGTCTCGTTCGGCCATGAACCACTCGGAGTACGCAAAGAAGGTCTCCGACGTGCTGAGCGACTCTCAACTCCTAGAAGACTTCGCTGAGCTGCTGCAACTTGTCCTCAACAAGGCCAGGAAGCGACCGGGGCAAGACTGGAGGTCACCATCTGTTGAAAGCAATCTCCGAACAGTCTTCCTTGAACTTGCTCGTCATCGAGCTGAAGCGAGTTTGGAGCATCGGCCTCGTACGGTTGAGCCACAGATCAGCACAACATTGCTGCAAGAACTCTTGAGCAGGAGCCTTCGCATGCTGGAGACAAAGAAAGATTTCTTGACCTCCTCAAGCTCTATCCCTATCTCAAGGAGGAGGATCATGGTTTTGTTATCGTCAATACGGTCAGGGAAAGCTCCTGTTCACCGATGTTCCGCACCTACAACACCTGAGTTCCTTGATTTTGACGGGTTTGTGAACTCGATTCGCCTGCTGGTTCAAGAGATCATGTCCGTATGTGAAGATAGTTTGTCATCTTTTCCTTCTGAGCTGGGCTCGTTTCACGCCTCCGAAAAGTCTGGCACACGGCAAAGCTGGCGGAAGCAGAAGCACTTTGAAAACATCTCACAGTCTGTGGGTAGAGAGATCTCACAGCCAAGATCGAAAGATTCCGAGTCGAGCAATCATGTTGACGTACTTTTGACTTACTCTCCTTACATACACGAGGGCTCTACTAATACTAGAGCGCATCAATCATCCCTTGACGATCTTTTACGAGCTGACAATGCATCTGCATCAGCAGGAGCAAATCAGAGGGCGGCAGATCCTTCTCTTGTCTGGCCGCCCGGAGTTTCTCAGAGCATTCTGGTAGTTGTTGTGGTGTCAGGAAGTATGGCATCGCTGGAGAGGATGTATGAGTTCTTTGAAGAGGAGATCTTTGGAAAGATACGAGAACACTGTCGTGAGGACTCGATGTGTGTCGATTCAGAAACGGTTCTGCTAGATGATTACTTCAACTCTTACATGGACGTCAACCTGCCCAAGGGCAACTCAATCCAGAAGCGTTTCAGTGAGGTCTTGGATCATGTGTTGGAGAAGAAAGCATTCTACTCGGAAGTTTGCCTCCTGCATGTTGTTGACGAATCGATGTTTGATCAGAGACTACCAACAAATATCCTGCAGCGGGATCTGAATGCTCTCAAGCAGAATCTTCTTGCTTCAAATGCTTCTGGGGAGCTGGTCAGCCTGTTGGACCGTCTGTACATCTCAGACCCTCTCAACCCGCGAGCGATGGTCCTCAGACGAGACAGCAAGGAGGAGGTAGAAGAGCTGCACTACATGGTCAACCAGCATCTGCGGTTGATGAGGCGTCAAATCAGGTATCAACATCGGGGCAGCGAAACTTTCGAGTTCCTCTGTACCAGTGCGGGGCTCAACATGTTGAAGGCAACCGCTCACAGCCAAGTGCTGCTCTCCCGCTCCTTCATCGTCTACGTCATATGTGAGGAGACAGAGGAGGAGTTTGCCCATGACATCAACTCGTTGCTCTCTCACTTCCCTGCCGCCAGCCTCTTCCGGTTGAGGTTCGAGAAGAAGTGGAACAAGGTCAAGAAAGCGATGAGCTCGGCCATGAGCAGGAGCGTGCCGAGCTGGGGATCGATTCACTCCTTCATCCAGCAGGGGTCCATCGCCTCCGAGGAGTTCCAGAAGCACGAGCTGACCGAGAAGTTCCTGCAGTTCTTCGACGCCCTACTACGAAGGAGAGTTGAGAAGAAGGCGTGTGGCTGCCTGGACTGTTCGCACATGTCCTCCATGGTGGCCGTGTACAACAGGTGGGTCAAGCTGAGGCCCTTGGAGCTCGAGCATGCCACCCAGGCAAATGCGGTGAAGCAGATCTCGTCCTACCTCTCGTCCTCTGTCAAGAAGCTTCCAACTAGACGGGCGGCGCTGCAGAGACGACAGTCGTTTGCTGAGACTTACAACAGCAAGCGCAAGGTGGTCGAGGAAGGGCTGAATCAGAGGATAGCAGACGCGCTCACAGCGCTTGCTGCCTCTGTCACAGAAGGGAAGGCCACCTGGTCGTTCCCGGAGGAGGAGGAAGAGCATGAGATTGTGTTCGACACTCAAATCGTTCAGCACAAATTGATGAGATTCTCCATGAACACCAGACAGATGGCCAACAACGCCCGCAAGCAGGATTGGCTGACGATGGCGTTACATGAACGACTGGCGGCGGTGGAGGCGACGGAAGAGTTCATCAAGTTGTCGCAGGAGGTCAAACAGTTTGACCTCAGCTCGCTCCAGCAGGCTTCCTCCCCTGCCCAGCTGCTGGGGAAGAGTGAACCGCACTTTGTCTTCGGCAATGGCGGGTCCGGGCGATCTACCGCCATCGCACTGGCGCTGAAGGCTGCTGGGCTGTTGGGACAGGGGCAAGAGTGCGGGGAGGAGGGAGGGAGAGAAAGTCTGTCCTCCGCGTTCAGGGAGAAAGTGATCGTGCGAATCGTTGGAGCGTCGGAGGAGTCGACGACCAGCTCATCTCTCATGCTGGGGCTCCTGCAGCCGAGAGGATTGAGCGATGAGGAGACGCAGGAGGTTCAACGGAACTGCTTGCAAGGTTGCTTCCAACGTCTCTTCCGCTCCTTCTCGTCTCATAGGAGACTGGTTCTCGTCCTCGATGATTTAGAGAAATTGAGCAGAGACGACGCAGTTCAGCTCCTGTCTTACATCCCTTCCTCTCTGCCAAACAATGTCAAGTTCATCGTGTCATGCCCAATGAAGCTCAAGGAATTCATAGATCTGTCAAATGTGCCGAAGGGGAATATCACAACAATCACTCCTCCTCTCGATAGAAATTTCTTGCAGTTCCAGAACAACCTCCTGTCTTCTTACAAGATCTCTACTCAGCCAAAGCTTTCAACGCAGAACCTCTACAAGCTTTTCCATCACAACTTGTCTCTCTCTCTCGACATTCTCTATCACTTTCTAACTCTCTTACCGCAATGGAATGATGATCCACAGACGACATTGCTATCTCAAAACACCTTCTTTCCCTTCACTGTTGACGATCGGGGGAGCATTAACATTTCCGATCTTCCTGACATGTCCAGTTCTGCCATCAAGTCTATCAGTCTGGCATGCCTGGCTATCTTGTCCAGCTGCAGGTTCGGGTTGCCGATGGGTTTACTGTTTGACGCTATTTGGAGTCTTCTTTTCACAAAGGATGAATTCTCGATTGCAGAGTTCAACATCAATCGGAGGAAGGCGAAAGTTATGGTTGATGCAACACTTGTATGTTTGAGATGCATCGTGGAGACAGCTTCTTGCGATCAGACGACTGTGTTCAAGATTTCTTGTCCCTGGATTGCACAGGCAGTGTTGCGTTGTAAGTTCTACCAGGATCACGGAAGGAAAATCTGTGGCTGCATCTCAACATTGTGTGAGAGTTTGAAGGACCATCGGGCAAGCAGGCGAGTTTGTCTGATTGAATCATTTAGCTCTGCTGTGAGAGAAATGAACATGTCGGATTCCTCGGAGAAAGTTGAACAGTTGACTCAGAGGCTGTTGAGCGAGTGTCACGTACGATCAAAGCTTGAGATGAGGCTCTTCTACGACCTCAATCGAGATGTCAGCGAATTCTTGTCAATACTGAAGGTGAAGTATTCACATGATGTCCCAGAGACAGTTGGTCTCATCAAGAGTTTCTACCTCCATCTCAACGGCAACCTGTCCTTGATTATCAAACCATACCACGATCTCTTCGTCCGCTTCATCCTCAGACATCTCATGACCTCTGCGATTGTAAATGACAAGTGTCTGATACAGAGCAGTGAGATGACTCAATTGAGAACGAAATTTGAAGAGCGAGAAGACAGGTCGTCCTTTCGGTCTGTTTTCAGCGCAAAGTTTTCTGCTGCAGTCACTTGCATGCACGTACTCCAACTCCGATGTTCCACCATGTGGGTCTTTGCCTACGGCAACGGAATGATTTCCTTGTGGGATGGTGTTCTTATAAGAAGACAGGTGGATTGGAAGACAAACTACAGCAAGATTGTGTTCTGTCGTCTGTTTACAGCTGATGAGTTGCCCTCCCTCCTCACGGTTTCAGTGGAGGGCGATGTGAGCGTGTGGGACCTGACGCAGACAGTGATGTCGCAAGCTGTTCCCGAAGAAGCTTTCAGTGCAAGCTCTCAAGATTTGTGGAGATTTGTTGACGAGGAGAACAAGCAAAGAGGTGCTAGCGAGTGGACTGTGTTGCGCGTTGCGATCACGCCGGTCAAAGAGGATGAATATCTCGTTGCTCTTGCTTTCTCGACGAGTAAGATTGTTGTGCAGTCGTTCCAAACAAACCCGTGGAAGTTTGGAGGTTCGACTGAAGTTGAAGGGCATGAAGGGGAAATAACAAGCCTGGTCTTCTCTTCTTCCCCCCTCCTTCTGGTCTCTTCCTCGATGGATGGCAACATCCGTGTATGGTCGCAGGAGGAAAGCTTCAGTTTTGCTCTGAAAATGGATTTGAAGTTTGCATTCCCAGTGCTGACCACGTATATAACAGACAACTACATCATCTTTGGAGGAAATGGATTCACAGGCAAGATCAACATCTCCAAGAGCGTTATCAAGTCATGCAAAGAAATCATTCAAGAATTGTTCACTGAGTATTTTGACGAGCTCAAGGGAATCAAAGTTAACCACCTGTCGCTCTTTCCTGCTTCCAACTTGCTTGTTGTCTTCTCCGACACTCGATGCTACGCACATGACCTCCTCGGCTCGCTGCTCTCAACAAGTCCCACCAGCTCCAAGATCCTCAACTCCTGCCTCGACCACGAGCACAACCTCCTCTTCTGCGCAGACATGAGCGGATCTGTGCAGGTGTGGACTGCTGGTAGTTTCAAGTCTCTGCCGCTGGGAGGAAACCTGGTAGACGATGCTTGCAGCGACTTCACTGGGGGGTCGGCGCCTTGCTGTGTCAGCATATCTTGCGATGGAGAGCATGCTGTCTGTATATGTGCGGAACACCTGTGCCTGTGGAGCACGTCACAGAGAGTCTTGGTGAGGAGGTACGGGCCCGATGACGACTTGGGTGCATTCAAGCTCGTATCCTTCTCTCCCTCTCTGCGAGAAACGTCCCCGCTGAAACATGTTGAAAGCTCGTTGGTCCTCATTGCCTGGAGCTCGCTCCATATCACACTCAACCAAACGGACTCGTCGCTGACGACCCTCGTCACCGTCTGTTTGCTTCTCTCTGACATTCGAGTCGCTAGCTTCAGTGGCTCGGGCGAACACGTCCTAACAGGAGGAATGGACGACACGGGGTGTGTGTGGGCGATCACAAGGTCTGAGCATGTTCGACATGTTCTTGCTTTTCTCTCACTCATCGCAGGTCTGAGGGTTTGCAGTGCGTATGTGTGATGGAGTGTAAGCATCAAGCTACAGTCCTAGATGTCAAGATCAGCCCAGATGACAAGTTCACTGCCACCTCCTCCGCTGATCAGACCGTTCGCTGCTGGGAAATCCTCCCCATTCCCTCCAGGAAGCCCTTCTGGATCGGATACCATGAGAGCTACGTGCAGGCTCTAGACTTCTCCTCGGACGGCAAGCGACTCGCTTCGGTAGGAGGTGACCGAATCTGCCGCGTCTGGAACGCGCAGACCGGCGGCCTCCTCCTCCTTCTCCGCTCCTCTGGGGCTCTCAACTGCGTCAGCTTCAGCCCAGCAGGAAACTACATCGCCTTCGCAGGGCTGCAGGGCTCGATGGGTGTGTGGAGGATGGAAGAAGACGCAAGTCCTGCTGGGAACCTTGTGGGAGAGAAGAATCCGATGGTGGGTGTGCGATGGATATCAGAGACATGCGTGATGTTCATGGGCTCGGGAGGAGCGACATGGGTGTGGGATGGGAGGAGCAGGAAAGTGGAGGGGATACATCTGAATAGTGTCCTACACTCTCAGATCGCAAGAGAACATTGTTTGCAGGAAAGGTTAGAGATTGACAACGTGAATTCCTGCGCTTTCTGGACTGATTTGCAAACATCTGTTGAGGAGAAGGGGAGGAAAACAAGGGGGAGAATCGTTTGTGGAGTGAGGACAGGTAAGAATTGCTTTGATCAATGTCATGAAGTAACCATGAAAGCAGGAGGTATCCACTTTGTCGATTTTTCACACACCATCAATCTTGTATGAATGCAATGAAGGTTATCATCAGAAAATGTTCAGCTCTCATGTTGAGAAGCGTCTACCTGTTGAGGACCATGCAAGATGCTGAGTGCAACCCTACCACCACATTGTTCTTCGGGCTGCAGTTGAGAGGATTCAACGACCGCAGGCATGTCCTGTAGCATGACATGCGCTCCGAGCTCTGCGTAGTCAGCGTTAGAAAGTAAGGAATCCTTTTCAATGCCACTCACAAGATTCCTGTCGGCGTCCACGATGCGCATGCAGAACTTTGCCTTGGCGAAGTTGGGACAGTCATCGAAGTTCCAGTCGCCTTGGCCGATTGCATAATCAGCTCCTGAGAGGATCGACGAAAACCTCTCTTCATTCATTACTTCCGCAAACTGCTTCGATCTTGGCCTCTGGAACCTCGACAGGTTCTCGCTGCGGGAGCATTGGCCATAGCAGCAGGGGCAGAGGACGTAGGAAGCATGGACGGAGCAGCAGAGGTCGAGGATGAGGTCTGTAAGAACCCCGCACGAGTGCAAGGATGTTCCAAGGTCAAACACTTGCCGACTGCTCGCATAGTCCTCAATGTCTCCACAGAAAACTTGGACGTTGTCCAACTTCAAGGAGGAGATGCGATCCTGTGCTATCCTACAAGTGTAATCTTTCCTCTCCACAAGCGTCACATGGGTACTCTCTCTCCTGAGGTAGGCGATGAGAATACCAAGGTGTCCAGTTCCCGATCCAAACTCTACGATTCTCACCCGCTGCTGTTGCCGTTCTTCAATCAGTCTGTCAACAAATGGCATGATAGACGCTGCCATGGCCTCCAGTTGCTTCCTCTTTCTCTGCGCTCTTCCTGGCTTCTCGTCCTCGGATAGTTCAGCACATGCAGGATCCAGGTTGGAAGGCAGCGACTCCCAGTCTGGGACCCATGAGGCATCCGATGTCGGCCAGCAAGAAGCTCCATCCTCGTTCTGAAGGTCGAGCAGGCTCTGTACAGCATGCAGGTCTCCCACCGCCTCCTCTAACTGCTTCCTCCTCCTCTCTTGCCGTGCCGCATGCCGTCGGTGCATCGCCAAAGCCTTTCACTACAGCCGTTCTGTTCGCGCATGTGCCAGCTTTATAGTCAAATATCATGATTTTTTAGAGATTATTGACTATATAGATGTATGTATATTGATTATAGGACATGTCTACCGTAGTTGATGGATTTGACCCGCAACGCGATGCTGGTGCGATAAAGAGGGAGAGTGGAAAAAGAAGAGAAGAAGAAGAGAAGAAGTAGAGAAGAGAAGAGAAGAGAAGAAGAAGAGAAGAGAAGAAGAGAAGAGAAGAAGATGATAAGATAGAGAAGAGAAGAGAAGAGGAGAGGAGAGGAGAGGAGAGGAGAGGAGAGGAGAGGAGAGTACAAGTTAGTATTGAGGTCAAGGGGAAATGAGAGTCATGAGAATCTCAGTGCTTTGGGTGATCTTGTGCCTTCCTTCTCTGACTCAAACTCAATTCAACATGGTGATATACGATTGGAGGACAAGAACCTCATGCTGTACTGCCGAATGCACTATTTTTTTCGCTAACAGTCCTACCGCGTGCAACTCATACTTGTGTGGCTGCCAGCCACCCACGGAGGAGATAGAATTTGTCTTCATAAACCGCTCGTTTGCGAGCATGTCATCGCAAGGGAGCTCTCTGTCGCTGTCTCCCTCGGGAAACCTTCTCATGACGAGCTCATCAGGAGGAGTACAGCTCTTTAACTTCGCTTCCATGGGATCTTTCATCGATGTCCCGGCGCTTTTTCAGTCAATGCCAGGCAGGATAGTGAGGACAATTTCATGCTCTGATTCCATAGCTTGCATGGCGGACCAAGACGCGATAGTTTGCAAGAAACTCAAGCAAACAGACACTCATACTTGGCAATGGTTTGACGTACGAATTTCCTCTCCTGAAACCGTAGATTTTATTGACCGGACATTTGTTTTCAATGTTCAATGGCTTGGTAGTGGAACATGTACAGCCGTGTGTCAGCGCTGTTTCGTATCGAAGTATGGAACCTCATTTCCTGGAGAGGGAAGCGGCTGCTACGGAAAAGCAATCTCAACCTTCCAAGACCTCCTATTCGTATCAGGAAAATCTGCAGCTTCAGACTTCATCGACATCTACCAGATTGTAGAAAATCCGCCAGGTTCATTCCAATACAACCTGGTCAAAACCATTGTCAACTATGACAACATCGATTCAATCATGTTCTACAAGAATGTACTGGTAGTGGGCATGTCGAAATCAGCGAATCAAGACTCATCAGCCGATGGCTTGACCCGTGCCGGTTCAGTGAAGGTACTTGTGTTTGCATCAACAGGTAACTTTCTATTCAGTTTCTCTCTATGAATGCATGAGAAAGTTCATTCAATAGATGCCGTACGGACAGCAGACCCAACGACTTTGATTGCAAATCGAGTTCCTGGCACCATAAAGTTCGGTAAGACAGTCTCTGTTGGAGAGGAACTTGTCGTGGTATCTGCTCCAGGAAATGCAACTGTTCCTGGTTCAGTCTTGGTGTACAGATTATCAGCCTCGATGTCAGCCGCCCTTGATGCCACATGCGTAATCAAGCAATTCTATCCAACGCAAAGTTTCGGAGGAGCGTTGTCGCTATTCAAGGTATCGAACCTAAACTACATAGCGGTTGGCGATCCCATGGACAACATTGTTTACCTTATACAAGTCGCTTCTGCTGCTTCGAATCCATGCAGTCTCACAAGAAGGCTGTACTCAGATCCCAGCAAGAATGCTGGTTTCGGAACTTCCCTTGTGCTGAACAACAATTTCCTGGTGGTCGGGTATCCAGACTATTATGATTTGATCCCCTGTTCCCCAGGTAGTTGTTCAGGAGCCCTGTACTTCAAAGCTCTGTGTCTTGATTCCAGCGTGATCAACTGCTCGGCACAAGACGTGTGCTTCCCTAACAGAAAAGAATGTTCTGCTTCGCAAGCACCCTGCTACACTTCAGCTGCATGTAAGCCTGGCGGCAGTGGAGGCAGTACGGGGGGAACAGGCGGGATACAGCCAAAGAGCTGGTGAGTAGCTGAAAGTTTGAAAAGTTGTTGTGACGTTATTGACAAGCTGATGGTATTGCAGTGCTGATTTGAAATCTCAATCATCGCAATATTGCAATGATGCCAATGCTGACTCTGGCGACGGCTGCTCAGCAACTTGCACCATAGAGAATGGATTTCAGTGTCAAGATCAAACCACTAAGATCAGTCGATGTAGTTTTGACACAAATGTGTACGCCGGGAGGTATTCCTTGAGAGGAGACATGGAGATCAAGGGGAACATCTTGACAAATGAGGTACTTCAACAACAGCTCAGGTCTCTGCTGGCAAGAATTGTGGCCAACTCAATCACCGTCAACGAAATATTCTTTGAGTCTGCGAGCCTACAGGGTTCGACTGTCACTTTGATTCAGTACGGCATTCTAGTTCGAACAGGAAGCGAAGGTGCAGGATACAGCATGTTCCGAAACATAGTCGATGAAATGAACAAGCCAAATGGCGCTGCTGCACAAGCAAACATCGTCAAGCTGGACGTTCAGCTTAAGTCGCCAGCTGGACAAGTCTTGTCATCGTACTCTTATCCGCTTCCTCAAACCAGTCCCCTAGTCAGTGATGCCTCATCCGGCAATCTTGATGGTGGTTCATGGTTGTCAAAGAACAAGACCGTCGTGGTGGCAATCTCCGTCTCCTGTTCCTCCGTCCTCATGGCCCTGCTGCTCTTTTGTCGTCTGCGCAAAAGCTGCGCCAAGTCCAGTTTGAGATTTCCAACGCCTGACTTCCGGTCGGACTTCGCCCCCGTCAACATGCCGAATGTTTCGTCTCAGATCGCCATCGAAATGCCCTCGCGTCAACCAGCTCCGCAGGAAGTCTTCTCTCGTCCTGCTCCTTCTCCTGGCCTGACAAGGCCTGAAGCTCCGATGCTCAAAGGGACGAACGTGCCCACGTACATCAAGTACAAGAAACACTTCGCTGCCAAGGCTTCGAGAGCGAGGAATCACAGGGAGCTGGAGGAAGAAGTGGATGTGGAGCAGCAGTCAGTCACATCAAGCGTGGAGGAGAAGGAGTGTATGATATGCTTGGGCACCTTCAGACCGGGCGAGCAAGTCAGGATGCTCCCCTGCATGCATTGCTTCCACAAACCTTGCGTCGACGAGTGGCTTGAGCAAGGGCATGACAGCTGCCCGCTGTGCATGCAGTCAGTGAACGATAAGCCTGCAGAGATCTCATCGGAGTACCGTCGCAACGTAGAGCAGAAACTTGGCATTAGCTCCACAACAGGAGGCAGGAGGAACGAGCGGAGAGGAGGGAGGAGGCTATTGAGAGAACTCATCGAGGAAGAGCAAGACCGCAGTCAGCAGGGGGAGATCTCAGAGTCAGACTTGGAACCTTCTCGAGCAGCTGGAGGGTCTCCGCAACCATCGAGGCATTCGAAACATGGTCGCAGAGGAGGTCGGCGCTGAAATTATACTCGTATGTGATCATCCTTGACCGATGATGAGTAAAGCTATCATGAGATAGAATCACGGTTGAACCTGAGAATTACTACACTGACGCACAGGCAGCTGGGCAGTATTGGCCCGCCCCGGCTCGCGCTCAGCGGGCCCCGGCCCGTGCCGGATTCTGCGAGGGATTAGTTTAGTGGAGGTTTAGTCACGATGTCAGTAGTCCATGGACGGGGTAAGATGAGACCGTCGGGATGCTCGCGCTGAGAGAGCCTCCTGCTGCCGCTGTTGCTGCTCCTGCTCCTGCTAGCCCTGATCCTCCTCTCAGTCTCACTCATCTCCCTCCCCTCTACTTCTGATCCCTCTCGCAATATCTTGATTTAGCTTCCGATCAATTGCTTTCAATAGCTCTCGTCGACCTCGAATTGTCGCTCTCCGCCCTCAATATCTTTCTTTTGGGAATCGATTTTCTCTCCATCGGTGATTGGGTGTATTGTTATCTTCGTCTCATGTTACATTCACTATGAACATTGTCACTTTCTTCTTGTTCGTCAACTCTTTGGTACATTCCTTCGTGCACCCTCCTTACGTTTCTTCACTCGCTCCCACTTCGGACCTTGCGACTGGCTGCTTTTTGCATTCGATCTTCGGACGTACTATGATACTGCGAGGTGGCTGTGATGCGGAAGCATGGAGGGGAGATTTTCAGAAGGTCTTGGAACAAATGAGAAACCAATTCGGATCTGAACAAATGACACAAGCAACCCAAAACGTGATGAACCGTATAAAAAGTAATGTTGGGCAGGATGGTAAGAGAAAAGAGATTCACTTTGCAGGCTCACCATGTCAGGTTGGATTCGAGGGCGAGGAGTCCCAGGCAGAGGATGATTTTGCTGCTTTGCAAAAGCAAATGTCAAATTTAGCTTTTCGAGAGGTTGAGATGAATGGATATTTGTACGGGGCAGCAGAACAGAACGATTGCAATCTAGCCATAGAGCTCCTGGAGGAAGGAGCGGATCCAAACTTCCGCAACTCAAGTGACGATTTGAATACACCACTGCATGTCGCGGCACAAAGTGGGTCAGAAGAAATGGTTAAAATCTTGCTCAGATATGGAGCGAGTGTGAATACCTTGAGTGACATCCACGACACTCCTCTGCTCGCTGCTGCTAGTGGAGGTGCTATCAAATCTGACCAGGACCTCTGGGAGTGGGCTGTGAATGGAAGCAAGGGGGAGCAAAAGATCTACGACAAGCAGAACAAGCAGATCTTTAACGTCGTCAAGATTTTAGTAGATGCAGGCTCGGATGTTCACCACAAGAACATATATGGCAATACTGCTCTCCACAAAGCTGCAGCGAATGGATACCATTGCACGATCTCCCACCTGCTCACCTTCGGAATGAAAGTGAACCAGCGAAACGAAGATGGAGCGACTCCGTTACATCTCGCTGCTTACTCCGGCAACCTTCGCTCATGCAAGGAGCTCGTTAGAGGGGGTGCAGACGTGAACATACCGGACGACAGCGGAAAGTCGCCCCTCCGATTGGCAAAGATCATGATGCACCCCAACGTACTCGAATATTTATCAAAGCTCACACCAGACAAGTCATGGGATGCTCCCCTTACAGGAAATGACCAGCACAATCTCGCGCGTGATGTCAGCAAAGAATTGAAGCGCATGGAGAGGGAGGAGGCACAACAAAAGAGGACCCAAGTCAAGAAAAGCAACACAACAGCTACAGAAGAAACAGGCACCTCACAGATCAAGACCTCTGTTTCCCCCACTTTCACACCATTAGAATCTCAAAACATTTTTCAAAGTCAAGTTCAGAGTCCTGTGGGCCCTCGCAACACAACGAAGACTCCGCGGAGACCAAGGAAGCCTTCAAGCAAAGCATCTTCAGCAACTCCCAGACAGAGGAAAAGCCGAAGCAAACCATGAACTCCCAGGATCACTTCTGAGCTTCTACGGTTGGACAGCCTGTCCTTGATACGGCCCTTGGGGATGAGCTGGCGACAGAGTTTCCTGAAGCTTTCCGTCGTTCAATTGTTTGCTGTATCTGCATACAGGGTCACCGAATTTTCAATCCCAATTCTTGCATTACATGGGCCATTCGAAGAAAAAGATGACTTTGATAGCTTGTGGAATTCCCCGGAAGATAGAAGGCGGGAATCTAAATAAAAATGAGTCGTTGCTGGAGCAGCGCACGGTGATGCTTACGGAATGAGGTTGCTCACGCTCTTCTTGTACCTGCATCATGTGAGTAAAGCCATTCATGAATGACATGTTGATACTCTCTGTAATCTTCTCTGTGTCCGTAACGCTTGTCAGAAGACTCCTCCAAAAGATTGACACCTAATGAAGACGTTGGATACAGCATTGCAGTGTGCAAGCGGACCTGACACGAAAAGGAGGAGCAGGGTAATGAAGATTGGCCCGATGATGCTCCAATACATCGCATCCGTACTTCAAACAAGCGCATGATCATCTCATGTAGGAGACATTGCACGGAATTACAAGACACTGCTGCAGGTGATGAAGAGGCCCCACCTGCGAGTTGAGACATCTTCAGATACAGGATAGCATCTTTTGGATTGCATGAATACCACAAGATGATCTCTCCAAAGTAGTTGGGATGACGAGACCAGCTTGATTTCTGTCAATGAGAACTTGTTTCGATCACAAAGATCCTTATCACCTCCACAGGCCCGTGTCGCAGAACCTTCCCTTGTTTTCTGGATTGTTTCTGAACAAAAAAAAAGACCTTCAGCTTGAAACTTTCATAAGTCCTTGAGTGAAAACACCTGAAGTCAAACTTCTGCTGGTCTGCTATTGCCTCCATCAGGAAGCCAACCAGCCATCTAGATCAGTTCAGCAACCAGATTCCAGGTAAACATTCACTTCACATGGCCAATCCCACCCAGTCACGAGCTTCCATGGGAGGATCCACAACGCAGCTGACGAGAAGTTTATCAGTTTCGACGCAAAGACGCAACAACATGCTGCAAACACCTCGAGTTCAGGTTTACTATCGGGCTGGAGACAAGAAACACCCAGAGAGCTTGAAAGAACCAGAAGGCAGCAAATTGCAGGCTGAAACCTCTGTCGCGATCATCGAACCTTTCATCCTTGCCTGTTTTCAAGATTCTCATGAGCAGGTAAGCTGAAAGGCGTGCCCCCCATAGCGCAGAAGCTACAGTGACAAGGATTTGACGAAGAAAGAACGATTGCGCCCATAGGAATGTAAGCAGAGAGACTAGGACGAAGTTTGTCCCGCCTGGTAAGAGTTACATCAGTGGGAGTGCAGATGGAGCTGCAGACTTATACCCGCAAAATCTGTGACTTTGTCAAACTTGAAATAGGCTGCGATGATGAAGAAAATAATTTGTTGCGCTGCCGTCACAGCTGCCACAACCCCGAAGAAGAGACCAGTGTCGCACCAGACCATGTTTCTGTAGGTTTGAGCCGAACGAGCAAGACAAGGTCTGCAGGAGGAGAGGGAGGCGAGCCGAACGAGCAAGAAAAGGTCTTCAGGAGGAGAGGGAGGAGGCGAGCCGAACGAGGGTTGTCAGTGGAGGTATGGCAGGAGCAACAGTCGATGCAGAGAACAAAAATATTCATCCTTAGGTTACGTACAGACTCATAAAGGGGGGCTACCGACCCGCCTCAGAGACTTGTCAGCTTTGAAACTTGCTGTGAAAACTTGTGTCGGAAACTTTGATCAAATATTTCAAAACTTTCCAAACTTCCCTCTCCACTAAAAAAAGTCAAGTTGACGTGCTTGTTGTCCTTTCCGAGGAGGCGGCGCATGGATGCGCGGGGGGGCGTCAGTGTGGCTGCTCTTGGCTGTCTGGTCGTTCCTGAGCTTGAGGACCGAGTCTCAAGAGTCCGACCCCGTCTTCAAGCCCGTCTGGCAATGGCTCGACCCCAAAATGAGTGCCGACAATGTTTACTGGCCGTCCAATGTGCCACAGGGGGAACGCAAGATGTGTACATGCAGCTTTGTAGATGTCAACATGGTCTGCACCGATTCTGATGCAGAGGGAAGATTGAAGATTTTTGAATGCGGTATTGACAACCCGAGGAAAAGAACTGGGCATGACGAGCTTTCGCCGGGCATGCGCCTACGGCCATGCTTCTGTGACTTGTCGACTGGTAAGCTTGTCCTATGAACTTCGTTTTCACCTGAATTTGCCCTGCAGGACTATATCAAAATGATGCCTGCTCCAGCTTTCAAATTGCAAGCAGCTACTTTTATCCAGCACTTTGCTTGCCCATGATTGAAGTGATAGAAGACGAAAAGGACAACATTCCTCTATCAGCGCTACATGACACAAGTACATCGCAATACATCCGACCTCCGGGAGCCTTCCCAGATTATACACGAACCATCATGTTCCGAACAACTATAGACATCGAGTGGGGTATTCTGGATATCTTGCGGTACGAATCGAAATGTACATACACGTGTCAGGGAGGAGATCCTAGTACTGCCGGCAAGCCCTGTATGGGTGCCAATGATACCACGACATGCTTGGGAGGCGGTCAATGTGCCTACGTGCGATGTGTTCCTTGCTGCAACGGGTGTCCTGAGACTACAGAGCAATGCAACTTTGGAGCCATGCCAACACCCAAACAATTGACGTTTGAATTTCGAGGAGCTGTGCTAGGGAAACACAGGCTCACTATCTCGGGGACTTGGTTCGCTTTGCAAGCTGTTTTCCTGAACCTACAGTATCAGGCGCTCCCAAATCAGAATTCTGAAAGGTTAAAGTCATTGTTAGTCAGCCCATCATCCGCGAAAACAAAACCATATGAAACCGTCACTTACAATATCTATCAGCTTGTCACGCCGACTGGAGCTGCACCTGGGACGTTTGTCGAGCAGGCTTGCGGAAACATCACAGTCCTTGTGAAGATTGTGGGTGTCAATGATGCTCCTGTGGTTGTAAATCCGCAGGATGGATATTCTCCCCCAGCTGTATGCAGTACTAAGAATGAATTGCCTGAATGTCATTTTGGACAGTTTTATGCTTTCGAGGACACCTCAGATATTTTGCAAATCAACGGGATGTCAACATCGGATGTGGATTTGGTAGAAGTGGATGAGACTGCAAGTCTGGATTTGAAAGTTCTCGTAAAGAGAGGCACAGTAGATTTCAACTCTCGAACAGATTTGACATTCTATGATCAAGCATTCAGGGATAGAAAAGGCTTCACAGCTGCAGCTGCGGCAACGAACAATGCCATCAAGGTTTTGAAATACAGGGTTGAAACCCCTTTTCTTGTCAACACACCAGCCAGCACTGTGCTGAATTACAATACTCAGCAACAAGGACACTATGAGTATTTCGACGTCACTGTAAGTGATCAGGGTTATACTTCCAGTATAGGGAGCGCAGAGGTTGTCACGACGCGAGTAGATGTAACAATTGTAGCTGTCAATGATCCTCCAGACCTTAAATCGCTACAGGCAGAATTTTCGTCGTTGGAAGATCAATTGACAGACATCCAAGGAATTTCAATTTCAGATGTGGATCTCATGGAGCAGATCGATTCCACCCTTGCCATTCAGAATTGGATGGAAGATTCAGAGTTTCGTCATTACGTCAACAACATCGCTGTTGAGGTCAGTGTCCAATATGGCACCATCTCACTGGGAGTCTGGTCGAAACTTGACATGATGTATGACAACACGAGCGAGTACGTCTCTCTTCAGAGTTTCATTGCAGGACACGACCTTTGCAGATTGTCGAACCTCTTCAACTCTCCACCAGGTTCTCCGGTCACGCTTGAGGATGTTTGTTCCAACGAAAATGCTGGCACGTCGGAGTGCACTACTGGTGTGCGAACGGATATCATCGCAAACCCGAACTGTCGATGCAGCATCATAAACAACTGTGCAACAGATGGGTACATCGTGATCTACTTGAATCGATCAAAAGATTTCAGTGCATACAAACAGTCTCTGAAGAATGCTGTCAGCTCTAAGGACCTCACTTGTGGAGGACTTCCAGTGGGGCTAGTTCCCAACAATTTCTCTCTGGGAATTCCATGTACCTCCAGTCAGGATTGCGCAGAGTCACAGTTGGGAGGGTTTTGCGGCAGTGCTAGCAAACCTTGTTACTGCTGCTCAAACATCACTCATCGCTGCTCTGCAGATTCCGATTGCGCTGCTTTCGCTGCAGATTCCTATTGTGGCTGCGTGCCGGGGGTGAAGGGAAATGGAGTCTGTGGACCATATTACACTGTTGGGGGGCAGCTGATGGTGTACGATAAGAAAGCGGGAGGGTATCCTGCGCTGACGCAGCGGTACGGCACTCCATGCATGTACATATATCCCCCCACCAAGGCTCGGCCTACGGACCAATGTCTACCAGCCGCTTACCTCAAAGTCGGATCGCAAGCTCAGGCTGTGGTTGAGCCGCTCACAGTCAATGGTGTCGGCTCGCCCATCATCAAATTCTTCGGGGCCTTGGACGACGTGAACAGAGCTCTAGCAGCTATCTCCTACAAGACCCGCCCCTTCTATAATCGCCTCTACCGCCCTTCCTTGTTCGACCGCCCTGTGAACTTTGACATCACTGTTGACTCAGTGGACTTGCTGACAGTGTCGGGGGATGACCTGGGCAACTCCGATGGAGGAGTTCGCAACATCCGGAAGTCAAACATCCTCCTGAGGATCCGAACACGGGCTGTGAACAACGCTCCCAGCATCTCCCTTCCTGCCTCTCTCAGTGCCCACGAGGACTTGTCACAGACTGTGAACATGGACATCAACGACGCCAATACAAAGATCGTCACAGTGGACTCTCAGGGCAGCATCTACCTGTGGGACCTGAGGGACACGCGGCCGGTCAACAGCATCTTGAACGCTCACGGGGAGACGATCAACGGGGTGGCGATGACGCTTGACGATTCTAAGATCATCACATGCAGCGGAGCATACGAAGTGACTGCAGGAAAGACTCCTGATCGAAGCATTCGAGTGTGGGATACGTCGGCGATGAAACAGCTGATCAAGATGCCTCTTCCTAGTTCCACCAAGTCGTACGGTCACGAGATGGGGATCACTTGCGTGGCCGTCAACTACCCCGGGACGATGATCATGAGCGGAGGTTTCGATCGGGCGGTGATCTTCTGGGACATTGCCACTGGGAAGCAGCTGAGGAAGGTGGGAGGTTTGACCGTAGTCAACGGGACTCAGGTCGCATCCTTCCTCGGGCACAAGGATGTTGTTACGACTGTTGCATTGTACGAGATCCCCGATGCGGGCAGTGTGGTGCAGCGAGGCGTGTCCTGTTCGGATGATATGAGCTGCAGGATCTATGACCTAACGGACTCCTTCGGGAACGAGCTTGCGTGTCTCGGCCCAGCGAGTGCAGGCTGCAATCCGGCGCTGAAGACGGCTCATACTGGCCCCATCACTTCCATAACGATCTTGAACGTCCCTGAGAGAAGGCTGCTGATCACCGGGTCTGAAGACAAGCTCATCATGATATGGGACCTGCTGACTTACGAGCGTCTCCGAGTGCTCACTGGGCACATCGACCAAGTCCTGTCCCTCTCTACTGTCAGTGCGGCGAAGCTGCTGGGGCGGGTCGCGGCTCCCATCCTGGTCTCAGTCGGGGGCTATCGGAGCCCCTACAATCGTCAGACCTACAAGGTCAGCACAGACTCGGCGATCCACATGTGGGACCTCGAGACTGGCCAGTTGCTCGACCGCTACGAGGTCACGACGGTTCATTTCTCCGGGAAGCCAGTGGTCAAAGTAGGCCTGACCCCCGATGGCTCGCGCATCGTGACAGCGTCAGAGGATGGCAAGGCAGCAACCTGGAGCTCGCTCACAGGAGAGCTGTACAACCAGATCCCCTGCCCCTGCCTCTGTCCTGCTGTTGTCGTCAGCGACCCTTGGAGTAGGTGCCAACAGGCTCCCTGCAGACCAGGATGCACGCCGAGCCCTGTGTCGCCAACAGCTGCTGTAAACGGGTTTGCTCTCTTTAACAACCCGATCAAGATCCAGGACCCGGACTCGAGTGACTTCGGATTCTCTTCCAAGAAGTTCTTGTTGAACATCACTGCCCAGCACGGCAGGGTTCACTTTCTCGAGAGCCTGATCCTACAGGAGAAGCGATGCAGCAACGACGGCAGCCTGTGCCTGTTGAACAAGGACTGTATCGCTGACAACGGCGACAACGGCCTGTGTGTCTTCCAGGAAGCCAAAGTTGTCCCCAAGCAATGGAATGGTTGGCCTCCTGCCGTTGGCCTCAACGCGTTCCCTAGCCCCGTGATGGGGGTCGGCAATCAGCAACTGTCAATCGAGGGGACCATGGACGCGCTCAACACGGGGCTCACTCGCCTGATCTACTTGGGGAACTCGAACTACAACAGCCGCGTCTTCATCCCCGAGTACATTCAGTTCGACTTCAACGATCAGGGAGCGATATCGGACAACTACGCTAAGAGCTTGTGAGCACTGCCCCTCGACTTGCTCTGTGTACCCTCCCTTCTCCTGACGCTCTTTCAGTGTCGACGCGAGGCTGCAAGGGACGGGCAAGTTGGATGTGCTGGTGGAGTCGATCAACGATCCTCCTGTCATCGGCATCAAGTGGGGAACGAGTGCAATGAACATGGTGCAGGATGCCAACACCTCAAGGTCTTTCCCTCCTCTGCTCTCTTTACCCCCTGACTGTTGATTTCAAGTTGCATGAAAATCCCCCCGGCAAGCAAAGATTACATGCTGTCTTGCAACCCGACGCGACGAACTTACATCGACATCGACGAAGACACCTTGTTCACAGTCACCCCGAACATCTTATGGATCGAGGACGTAGACTCCAATGAGGCGATCGAGATCGCCAAGCGCGGCAGGGTGAGGGAGGAGGAGGAGTCCTGGAATGCGTCTGACGTTCATGGCAGCCCCACTACTTGTGCTCGGATCCTCTCAGTGTCGATGGCTGCACGTGCAATCAGGGATGCTTGTGCGGGCAAGGGATGTGCAAGTGCGATGCTCCTTTGACGTGCGACAGTAGCGCGTATCCTCCGGGAAGGCTTCTGATCGAGCTGCAAGTCACGCACGGCAAGCTCACTATCGCTGCTCCTCCCGGCAGGAGCGACCTCCCAATCATCTTCCTGCAGAACTTGACAGCCACCTACGACTCCATCCACACATGTCTCAAGAAGACTCTGACTGCCCCGACCTGCTACAAGGTCTGTGGCAATCAGCTTTCCTGCGCCATCAACCAGTCCTCCATCGCCTTCTTTGCCACCCGCGATGAGATCCAGACCATCCTCGCGCAGAAGTACATGGTCTACGTGGGCAACCCCAACTTCTACGGGCAGGACGCGCTCAAGGTGTGGGTGGCGGACCAAGGGTTCACTGACGAGTGGTATGACGTCAAAGGCTCTTACTCAGATGCAGCCTTGAGCACTATCATGATCCGCGTGGTAGGGGTCAATGATCCTCCAGTGGTCGCCAGGCCCTCCTACGTCTTCAGCTACTCGCAGGGCCTCCGCTGCTACGTCGACTGGATGCAGAACCAGAACAAGCAAGGGATCCGCTGCAGCTCTGACGTCAGCATTTTCCAGAATTTCTCTCGCGTTCCTCCGCTCGCGGGAGCTTCTTCAACTGCAGCCTTCAACTACCTCAAGTCCTCCGGCGTCCTGCCCTTCCTCTCCATCTCCGACGTCGACATGAACGACACGCCCTTCGGCAACATGACGCTAGAGATTCAGATCGGAAGGCCTGGAACTGGCCCGGCAGGACGCTTCACCATCTCCAAGCTCGTCCCCTCGCTGTCGTACTACATGATCTATGACGAGCAAGACACCAGTCAGGTCCGCATCCTCCGAGTGAAGGGCAGGATGGAGTCGGTCAACGTGATCCTGGAGCGTCTCTTCTACGACGCGGACCCGACCTTTCAGGGCTACGCTCCCTTCGTCGTTAAGGCCTCTGACAACAACAACTTCGGCGAGTGCAGCGGCAACCACAAGTGCGGCATGTCCCGCCCCTGCGACGACGGTCTGCTGGCAGAGCCGCATGCCCCGAGCCTGCCAGCACAAGGGAGAGCGAACCTAGACGTGGTGATAGGAGGGATGTCGCTGTGCCAGGCCGACAGCTGCGAGACTTGTGTTGGTGACTGCGGGTGGTGCCACTCGCACTGCGGGGGGAAGGGAAAGTGCATGATCGGCAAGAGCAAGCCCATCTTCGAGAGCTGCCAGGTGAACAGCCTGAACCTCAAGTACTTGAGCTACGGCTCATGCAAAGCTACTCTGCCGCCATGGCTGCAAGTAGGCATCATCCTCGGCGTCGCCTTCCTGTTGTTCACCGTCGGAGGATACACGTTTGTTCGCTGGGCCTCCCGTAGACACGGGTCAGTGCGTTCCTACCTCCGCAAGAAGCGCAGAGACGCCAAGAGGATCGGCCGGTTGCTTCACATCTGGCCTCCAGACGACGCAGACTACCTGCAGTTCTTCCTTACCCTCGACCTCATCGCCTCCGCCTTCGTCATACTCATCGTTGCGCAGCAGACGGTCATCCTGCTGTGCTCGTTTCAGTCCGAGTACTACCTCGACACAGCCTCCAGCATCACGCTAGAGCTCGACAAGTGCGACTTGCGCTTCCTCCCCGCCAACCCCTCCATCTTCCCCAAGGCAGGTGACAACCAGGTCCGAGCTCTCAAGGTCAAATTTGCCTACCTGAAGCACCCAGACGTTGAGCTGCAGTCGCTGACATGCTCGGCAAGTGCGTCGATTAAAGTTATCAACAAGCGGCCGAGCGACGTCAAGTACGTTGACTACTACTGCAACGTGATCGTCATCGTCCCTGCCAACTTTATCATCCCTGAGATGACAATCAAAGACTTCAACGGGTTCACCAGCAGCATCCGAGCTGGCTCCATGGATCAAGACTCCCAGGACTTCTCCATTGACTTCGGCCCCAACTCCTTCACCATCCTCGGAAACTTCATAAACGCCAGGTTCCGCGGCCTCAGCGCCCGTAGCTTCAAGTTTGACGTCACGTCCGGCTACCTGCTAGCCGAAGACGTCGCCTCCCTCGAGGCCTCCAGCTTCCGCAGCGTCAACGCAGACCTAACGGTCACCACCAAGTACGCGACGTCGGTGAGCTTCTGGCAGAAGGAGGCGAACAAGGTCTGTCTGGCTGCCGCCAAGGGCTCCCTGTACGTCCAGGGGTCCTGCGAGCAAGTTTGCGCCTTCCTCCCCTCCTCTGCCATCCGCCTCAACGCCACCAACGCGACCTCTCAGGCCGAGTGCGTCGCCGCGACCATGGGGGGCGTGTGGGACTCGACGACTTCCACCTGCAAGCTTCAGTGCCCCACTCTTGCTCGGCCCCTCTCCCCCGGATGCTACGACCTGAATCTGTGCACCATCATCGAGTCTCCTCAGTGCCTGTGCAAGCCCTCTTGCGACCTCGTCCCTCCTTCCCTTCTCGCCTACGACGGCATCTCGGGAGTTGCGGGCACATGCAACCTAGCGGGCCAGTGCTGCAGGTGAGTTCGAGCTAGGGTGTAGCTGAAGTTGCTGACGTCATCGCAGGGATATCTGTGCAGGTTTCTCCCGAGCTGACTTGCACCCGATCCCCGACCAGCCCTACAACGGCATCGTTGTCGACCCCGCAAAGTACAACTACATAGGAGGGCAGTTGGACCAGACGTTCGTCTTCGAGTCTCAGTCGGGTCAGATCACCTTCGAGGTCGGCTCAGCCACGGACACCGTCGTGTCCTACAAGGGCAGTGGCCCGCAAGCGAGCGTAACGCTGCCGTCGGACATCGTCACGTCAGACAAGCAAGTCCTCGACCTTCTCTTCCATCCTGGCGGCGACAATATCCCGAAGCAGGAGATCTTCACCTTCGGCCTCTCCGGCCCTGGGGTGCCTGAGACCATCACGGGTTCGTTCACTTGGGTGAAGAACATTCGCTACGTTGTCCTCCATCCCTGGTTCCTCTCCGTCGCTTCCTTCGGGCTGCTCATGCCCTCCACGCTCAGCAGTCAGAGCAGGATCAACCCCTCCTTCTGCCCCCACACCGTTCAGGTCGACTCACCCGCCTTCAACGCTCGGCTCATCACTATCAAGGATCTTCTCACTAACTCCCTCGTCAACTTCCCTCCCTCCCAGCCCCCCAAGCCGATCCCAGGCAGCTCAGTCGTTATCTTCAAGTCCGTCGCCGGTGATAGTGCGGTGAGTCCCCCGGTCTTCCTCCTTCCTCTCCCCTACTTCTCCTCCTCCGCCTTCTTCTCCAGCCTCCCACCTTTCCCTGCC